CGTTGAGGCTGTGGATTTCGTGGGCGTCTTGGATTAGGGAAGCATCAGAGCCTTTTCAACCACGTTACTCCGCCTATCCCAACGAAAGGGCGTCTAAAACAAGCCTGAGACGCACATAAAGATGCTACATTGCAGTCCCGTGTCGTCGAAAACTCCAGAAAGCTCGCACCTGTCAGCGAGCGGAGGGAAGGGGGAGTGGGGGGGGCGGGAGGGGGGGGGGGGGGGGGGGGGGGGGGGGGGGGGGGGGGGGGCTCATCGACACGTTTCCATTTTTTAGGGGGGGGTGGGGTCACTGGGGAGGGGATTAAGAGGTGGAACCTCTGACAGCTTCGGCCGGGGCCGAGGCGAATTATGAAGGCCCCTTTATTATGCCCTTGTCAGGTTTCCTTTTCGGACCCGCATTCTGTCAGCACCACGCTCTGATGTGTACATTTCGGTTACTTCGGAGGCCGGGGTTTGACGATTTACAGCTTACGGTTAGGCTTTAAGGACTCATACTTTAAAGTTTTTGGGCCCAAAGACCATACTATAAAAGGCTTTTAGGCGATTTTGAGCCTTAGGGTTAGGGTTTTGGGTATAGGACGCCCTCATATCCTAGGCCTTTCAAGCCCCGACCTCCTAAACCTCAAAACCTGAAGTTCCAGCACCCTCAACCCCCAACCCTAGACCCCCAAACCTTAAACCCCTAAACTTTATTAAACCCTGGCCCACAAACCCTAAACCCCTAGACCCCTAATCCCTAAACTCAGAAACCGGCAACTAACGTACCGTTGGTTAGTAGGGAATGGAAGGATGGTAGTAGTAGTAGTAGTAGTAGTAGTAGTAGTAGTAGTAGTAGTAGTAGTAGTAGTAGTAGTAGTAGTAGTAGTAGTAGTGGTAGTAGTCATAATTGCATCTCATTCCTCCATTCCCTGCTAACCAAAAGTAAGCTAAGCCGCGAGGTTCGGCGCTGCCGAGCAGGCTCCGAGCCAGGGAGGTTTTGCTTGGTTTTGTTTTTCACGGGGTTCCTTCTTAAGGGGTCCAAAAAGGGCTGCCATAAGGGCTATTATAAGGATTTGAGGGGTCGATAAGGGCTGCTATTAAGGGCTATTCTAAGGATTTAGTATAGGGGCCTTAATACTTAGAATAGGGTTTTGGGGGTTCCTGAAAAAAGCAATCGTGGCATTCTTCTGCTTGGCTCTTGGTTAACCTTGTGGGTTTCTATACGAAATATAATAAAGAGGCTAAAAGTTCAACTTTTCGGAGGGGTGCAGAAGTCAGCCAAGACTTGTAGCGACCACCAGGCCTGCAACCCTAAACCCTAAACCCTAAACCCTAAACTCTGTCAGGGCTCGACTCTTCTGTGTTTTTCTCTCGTGGCCCAGCCTGAGGTTCTTGAATTCACCGTGGGGGAAGACCCCCTTTAAAAGGAACCCTACTTTAATTAGTAAGGAACCCTATATTATAGTACCTATATAGATCTCTTATAGATGCCCGGTGTTTCGAAAGAGCTTTGCAGCGTGCTTCCGCTCTGATCGTTTTTGTCTGATATTCGGCGTCGAACGTAGGAACCCCAAACCATAAAGGGGCCTCTGCTCCGGGTTCCCGGATTCCGATATCTCAGGGGAACCCGAAACCCTAAACCCTGAACCCTAAACCCAAAACCTTGAACCCTAAACCCTTAGCAACCAGAGTGTCTCCGATAACCCCTAAAATGCTCAGCTCCACCAAAAGGAACTCAGGCATATTCCTAAACCCCTAATGCCAAGGCCATGGTACTTGTAGTTGGCAGCATGTCCTAAACTCAGCTGGTGGTGGGGCTCTTCAGGCTCGCTTGAAGGAACCCTCGGAGAACCTCTGTGATTAGGGTTCAGGGTTTTGTGCAGGATCCTCAGCAGCCTGCAGCGCAAGCACTCTTCGTGGAGGCCTCATCTGACTTGGGGTGTTGGGCCGTAAAATTTTGTAACACAGTATTTTCATCTTGCAGCCATATAACTGCAGACAATGCCACAAAGTCCTGCTCTAAGTACTCAGGCCTGTACAGCAGGTTTTTGCAGGAAGTAGGGCTATCCTGGCCCCTATGCAACATGCCGAAATCCTCCTACGCAGGAAAGTAATGACAAAGTGCTGAATTTGTTTTGCACCACTGTACTTTTACAGCTAGCTTCAATGCACTTACTTGGAAGGGCAGGGGACTTAGTAAGTAGGTTATAAGTAGAGTTATAAGTACCCTAAATGGAGCTACCCCAATTATAACCCTACTTATAACCTACTTACTAAGTCCCCTTCCCTTCCAAGTAGCATGTACAGGCCCAGGGCCCAGTTGTATATTCTGCCATTAAGCCTCACCGGGCCAACATAGCCCCCTAACCTTCCGGTCGCTAGACTGATAAATATCGATGGCAAGGGGTTTTGTTTTGTAAACGTCTTGCGTTCTCTATGGTAGAGTTCGAGTTTCGGAGGTTACTTGGAAGTTCGTAGTGCGTAGTAACTAGGGTTATAATATTAGACAAGGTAACCATGCTTCAGATTAACTGTAAACCCCTGTCAAGGTACTTGTAACTGTACTTACTAAGTCCCATGATCCTCCAAGTATGCGGCCAACTCCTGCCCAAGATCAAGACACCAACTAAGTAGCCCAAGTTCGTGTTTCAGGGTTTGGTGAATGTAGGCTTGTTTGGGTTTTCTGTATAGACTTTGATTGATAAGCTCCCTTTCTTCGATTGCCATGATATTGGGATCCCTGCGATTTCACACTGACTAAAAACACGAGCGACACGAACTTAGGAATTTTGGCTTTAGGTTTAGGGTTTAGGGTTTAGGAATTCAGGTTTTTAGGGTTCGGACTTTAGGAATTCTCGGGTTTAGGGATGTAAGGTTCGCGGTTTACCCTACGACCCGACTTCGAAAAGTCTTCAACCCCAGAACCCGAAAGAAGCCTGAAAATCCTCAGCCCGTCCCATGGCTCCATAGAAATAAATCCCATGAGCTTCAAGACCCTTTGAAAACCGGTCGGCAGTCGACAAGTCACGGTTCAATCCTTCTTCAGCCCAAACCCAAAACACAAGACCCTGGGCCTTTCCAGGTCGAAGTTGCGGGTGGCTCGCCCAGAACCCAGGCTAAAACCCTAAACCCTCAACCCGATTTCCTAAGCCTTGAACCCTGAACCTTGAACCCACAAACCGTCGACTCGAAACCCTAAACCGCCATGGAGGCATCCTCCCTGGAAGCAATCAGCCGAGAGAGCGTCCGCATCCAGGACTATTCGGTCAGGGTAAGGACCTTATATTGCGGTTCTGCTTCAATATCAGTATGGTCACCTGAGTTACTCAGTCGTTTTAAGTGCTTGCCCGGAGGGTCCATGTACTCGGAGTGTCTTTTCAAGGGGTTCCTCAAGGCTCTATGATGGGTTTATATAAGCAGCAGAAATTCTTAGATCTGGCATCTAAGGATCCATGTACCCATGTAGTATCCAGTTTGGCCTTAAAGGGGTTCCTCGAGGTACTTAAGGGTCAATCTAAATGTTAATGCGGGTATATGGACGCTGAGGGTTGCACACGTTTCTGAAGCCTAAACGCGGCACCCGAAACCGATCGGGGTGCTAAACATGAGGGACTGAGGTTCACATGTTCAGGGTGTAACTTTAACGAGGGATACTCAGCTTTAAGTCCTAGGGTGTTCGGATTTTTAGGTTTAGGGTTGCAGGGTTAGGGTTTCGGGGTGTTGAAGTTTAAGCTCTTGGGTTATTGAACTTGATATTTTGAGTGTTACGCGGAGCCAGCCAACTTTATGTATCTGAGTCCCAACTAGGCTTTCCAGCTGCTGTGCTACAGAACCATGTCCCGCCATCCCAGGACACCATTGACGAGAATCCGTTGTTGAGCATTCAGGTGAGCCCGGGGTTTGGGGTCCAGACTTGGGTTCAGGGTTTAGGGTTTCGGCTTGAATTCAATTTTGAGTTTTTGGGATTCAGGGGGTTTTCGAACTAGAGGTTGGAGACTGATGGGGTTCAATATAAGCATCGGTATAAATAGTAATAGTGCGTATATAGGGGTATATTGAAATATTCCTTGTTTCAACAAACCAGAACATGTCACCAAAGGGGTTTGGACTATGCAGGTGGCAGCGGTGTAGACCCAGAGACTTCAATATTTCTCACTTAAGGAATATTAGGGGTCTGGCGTTTCGGGCGTTAGCGTTGGGTTTAGGTTTCGTAAGTTTAATATTAAGCGAGCCCTAGGCGTTTGTTCTGGCTCGCCCATATTCTTATGCATGCAGCACAGGGAGCGTGAATTTTCGCCGTAGCGACTATGTAACTTTGATGTGCTCCGCATAGTACCCATTTGTTACCCTTACACGGATACAGCCCTAAAGCACCGTATTGAATCAATGTGGTCCTGTAAAGCTTAAACCCAGAAAACCTATAGAATGCCATAGAGCTCGTGAAGGAACCCTTACAGCAACTCGGGAAGGAAGCCTTATTTGGGCGGACGTGGGACAAACAGGCGAGCTCAGTTTTGTGGAAATTGCCTGTGCTCTAAGGGTCCAACATATCTTTAGCATGTTCCTTAACCTTGAATCTAAAGTGAGCCCTAGAATCCTTAGGGTTCCTTCTGGTAGCCAGAGTATGACATGCCACAATCCCGTACTCCAATTGTCAAAGGCCCCTCTACCAATCCGCTGCTACCAACCTTTAATTTATAGTAACCACCACATGTAACCCTTTAACGGAAGCTCCATGGAACCCTTCTAATAGAACCCTTTGAAGGAACCCTCATAGAATCCCCGAAAGGAACTCCTTTAGAAGGAACCCTCATAGAGCCCTTCAAAGGAAGCCCTTTGGGTTTGGATTTCGGTTTTCGGGGTTCCGTAAACCCTAAACCCTAAGCCCTAAGCCCTAAACCCTAAACCCTTAAAAGAAAGCCTTAAACCCTGAGCCCTAAACCCTAAACCCTTAAAAGAAAGCCTTAAACCCTGAGCCCTAAACAGTGGAGGTCTATGGTGGCAAAGTGAATGGCTCCATGCTTTCCGGTCGCCGCTTGTCTAAAGAGGACGAACTCGACAACGGGTCCACAGAGCAGACCTTGTGGATTTACTGTTAAAAGGGGTTCCTTTAAAGGGATCTATAAGGGTTCCTAGGGTTCCTTTAAAGGGATCTATAAGGGTTCCGTTAAAGGGCACTCTAGGGTTTAGGGGTTTAGGGTTCAGGTGTTAAGGGGTTTAGGGTTTAGGGGTCTAGGGGTTTAGGGTTTAGGGGTTAGGGGTTCAGGCGTTTAGGGTTTTAGGGTTTAGGGGTTTAGGGTCCGGGGTTTAGGTGTTTGGGATCTGGGGTGTGGGGTCATAGTAGGGTTCAGGGTCTACCTAGGGCTCCAGTGGGCTGCATATTATGTGGTTAGCAACCTGCTATTTAATACCGTTGATGGCATAAATCCTGCATTACCTTAAGAACCCTAAACTATGGGAATTATGGTATGTTCCTTATTATGAGTAATGCAGGATTTATATCCCTAAACCCTATGGATTCCTTAAAGGAGCCCCTTAAAGGGTAGCCTTCTAGACCCCTTTAAAGGAACCCTAGGATTTCTATCATCCACCGTAGGTAACTGGAGCCCTAAGGTCAGGGCTTCAGGATTTAGGGTTTAGGGTTTAGGGTTTAGGGTTTAGGGTTTAGGGTTTAGGGGTTAGGGGTTAGGGGGTTTAGGGTTTAGGGTTTAGGGTTTAGGGGTTATGGTTCGGGCACTCACTGACATGCGCCGATGCTAACCTCCGGATTTCATGCGCGATGTGCTGGAATAGGCTCTGACGTGCTAAGACCCAGACGTGCGGCACGACTATCAACTACATGCTCCGGGCCCCTAAATCATCCTGCGGACTTCAGGAACTTCCAAATACAGCTTGTATCAAGCTTGAAAGCATCTTACGCTGGACGTAGAATTGTAAACACTAGTGCCTCAACGTGTAGCGCCATGCCTCGTTCGCAACATGGGAGTTTCCGAAAATAGGGGAACCTAGTATAGTACCCTAAATAGTAGGATCCTTATTATAAGGACCCCAAAATATGGTAACCCTACTTTTCGGAAACTCCCACATCGCGCAAGGTCGCTTCTTCGGTCGCGAATCCGGTGACGTGGGCTCGGCTTTACTCTTCAGCGAGAGTTCAAGGCACGAGGTGCAGGGCTTACTTAAAGGATCATGGGACTTAGTAACTAGGGTTATAAATAAGGCAACCATACTTATTATAACTACTTATAACCCCAATTAGGCTACTTGTAACCTTACTTACTAAGTCCCATGATCCTCCAAGTAGTAGGGTGTAGGGTTAAACCCTAAGCCCTTATTGGGCTGTGATAGACTGAGGATTCTGCAGTGCTCGCCAGATTTTTGAGCGTTCTAGGGCAGGGTTGCTCAGCACCCGGATTCAGAGAAAGGTCTGGGGTCCTCGGCAAAATTACTGTTATGCGGGAGGGTGGGCAGGGACAGAATTCGCTAAGTCCGAAACCCCCTGGATGAAGAGACATACCTGAAATCAGGGCAAGGATCTTTTTCTGCTTCAAAACCGTGGCTCGAGGGATTGGGGTTTAGGTTTAGGGGGTTGACCACGGATGTTCAGACGACTCTCGGGGCAGGCCGGCAGGCTTGAGGAACCTGTCTTGAAAACGGGTGCAATAGGGGTCTACATAATTACCTATACTATTTTGGGGGCTCCTTATTATACGTATAGTAGTTACTTTATAATATACCCTCAAAACCTATTCTGATTATTAAGGCCCCTTTCTAGCTATGCAGCAGAAGACTCCTAAGCTTTGAGTCCTAAACCCGGAACTTCAGACCCCTAAACCCTAAACCGGAAACCCTACATCCCAGACCACTTCGTAATAGACCCTTGAACCCACTAAACCGGAAACCCTCAACCCCAAACCCCTTAGAAATATGTAGACCCTTGGACCCAAGACCAAACCCCCCAACCTCTGCCGAACCTAGTAGTAGAGTAGGTAACCTTTAGCCTTTTTGGGGTAGTATAGCCCCTACATAATCCCTATATAACCAAAAAGGTTTACCTTTAGTTCCCCATGATACCCGACAAGTAGGCGAACTTCACAGAACTCGCAGGGGCATGGCGATCACTCGCCGAGTCATGGCCTTACTGGACGTCTGCTACCCCTTTGCCGGGAAGGCTGGGGATGGGCCCTGAACCCTCAAGGGTTTAGGGTTTAGGGGTTTAGGGTTTAGGGGTTTAGGGTTTAGGGATTTAAGGGTTTAGGGTTCAGGGGTTTAGGGTTTAGGGTTTGGGGTTTTAACCCTACACCTCAAACCCTCGGTGAAACTCCTGGGCCAAAGGCATAGCTAGGGTCTGGGGGTTTAGGGGGGAGCCCTAAACCCTAAACCGGTGGGGGTATTCGGAGGTGTCATGGGAGGGCAGGATCGGGAGTGTGGCATTTCGGAGTCTCCGGGTTTGTGTGGCTGAAGGATGGGACTGAGAAACCGGGGTTATAATTATATTTGTAATTTCTTATAACCCAGCTAAGGTACTTCTAACCTTAGTTAAGTCCCGTGATCCTCCAAGTATCTATAGTAGAAGCCAGAAAGTTGGAACATCAGACTCCTCATGCCCTTAAGGTAAAGTATAAGGGATCCTAGCACTAATCCTCCTAAAGCGATGTTCCAACTTTCTGGCTTCTACTGTAAGGTGAGTTTTTGGTTTGGGACCCCAGGCCCGTTCGGTTGAGGCTCGGCGCTAGGGTTTAGGGTTTAGGGTTTAGGGTTTAGGGTTTAGGGTTTAGGGTGTAGGCCCTTTACGTGCTAAATCGAAAGCTCTCCCTGCTCAACCCATACAACTCAACCCCAAACCGAAAACCCGGATCAAATTACCCATAGCTATGAAGCATAACAAGCCTTAAGCCACAAATCTAGGCTTTAAGCCTTTTGCATCCTACCCTTTGGGGCTTTTTCTAGCCCCCAATGCCGAGGCCTCGTTGGTTTTTCGTAAAGCCTCACCCCTGAGGCGGGCGTTGTCGCACAAGTCCCAGCGGAGAACAGCGCAGCACCGCCTATGTATTTGCTTACAGGCGCTGTTGGTGGAGGGCCTTGTATACGCGTTTGGGTTAGGACAGGTTAGGATTGTGTGTTGCGTTGAGGGGCTTGGAGGGTTTATCCGGCCTGGGGTGAGGGCCCGGGTCTTACAGCGTTCAGGCATTCAATCTTCAAAATCTACAGTGTCAACCCATCTTGCATCTGTACCCATCTGGCATTTGCAATCTACAGCTATAGCTGGGCATAAGTGGTTCGTCCCCCCTAAACCCTAAACCCTAAAGCCCAGCCGCGAACAAAATCAGGTAAAGCCTCCAAATTGAAAGCCGATCCCCGGCTGCCCACCCGCTGCGATCGTGTAGCAGCCCTGATACGAAGTAGCTTCTATTTGCTTAAGAAGCCCCCAAAAAATAAAAAGAATAATCCTTATATTACCCCCATAAGGAATATATTTTTTATTTTTTGGGGGCTCTTAAGCAAATAGTAGGTAGGGTTCAGAGAAAGGTGGGGTGAGCGTATATAGGGCTCCATGGGGTACCTTCGGGTTCCTCTCACGGGTTACTATAAGGGCACTGTAAGGGTTCCAAGGGCTCTATAAGGGCTTAGAGTTTCCGAAAATAGGTCATCCTAATATAGCACCCTAAATAGAAGGATCATTATCATAAGGACCCCAAAATCAGGTACCCCTAATTTTCGGAAACTCCCATGTAGGGCTCCTTGGAGTGAGATGTTGTTGAGTATCTGGTTTGGGCTGTACTATGGGGAGGCTAGTGCAAAAGCCGCCACCCTGCGCCGTCACATGAAGAGAGGTAACAGTATGCCCCTCTAGTCCCCACTTAAAGGTTCATGGGACTTAGTAACTAGGGTTATAAATAAGGTAACTATGCTTATAATTACTTATAACCCCAGTTAAGGTACTTATAACTGTACTTACTAAGTCCCATGAACCTCCAAGCAATCCCTAAACCCTTAAGGGGAAGCCCATTATAGAGCCCTATAGTACCCTTAAAAGGAGCCTTAAACCCTAGTTACTAAGTCCCATGAACCTCCAAGTAAGCCCTAGATCCTAAACCCTGTAGATCCCTTTCAGGAACCCTATAGATCCCTTTATCCCTTGAAGGAGCCCTTTAAGCTACTAAGCCCCATGAGCCTCCAAGTAAGCCCTAACCTCTGAACTCTGGACTCTGGCGTCTCCAGGTTTGGCGGTTCAGGAAACTTAGGGTTCTTTTGTTAGGGTTTAGGGTTCAGAGTTTAGGGTTTAGGGCTTAGGAATTAGGGTTTAGGAATTAGGGTTTAGGGGTTAGGGTTTAGGGGTTCAGGAAACTTCGGGTTCTTTAGTTAGCCGTCGTAGTCCGACCCTCTTGCAGGAGAGGAGAATCCGGCATCCGGCAACTGCCTCGTGCTGCTGCTGCCAGGACCTGCATCTGGCTAATATAGGGGTCTTATTGATTTCTATAGGGTTTTGGGGCCCGCAATACTATAACCATAATAATGCACCCCCCCCCCAAATAGCATTAGTAATTTGAAACGCTGCGCGTCGTCCGCCTCGGCCCGGCTGTACGCGCATGCGGCGAGTGGCTACTATGTGCAGCAAGCTCTTGTAGGAAAAAAGTAACAGTTGGAATCGCACTTATAGTAAAAGTAATGTTCATAGCAACACGAAGCAGGATGATTGTGAGTAGTATTAGTAGTGGTAGTATCAGTACGAATTTTGGTGTCGTCATTCCGAAACACTGGATACCAAGACTCTCGCAAGCGGCGGGATGCCTTAAGTATGGGCCGTTGAGGCTGTGGATTTCGTGGGCGTCTTGGATTAGGGAAGCATCACAGCTTTTCAACCACGTTACTCCGCCTATCCCAACGAAAGGGCGTCTAAAACAAGCCTGAGACGCACATAAAGATGCTACATTGCAGTCCCGTGTCGTCGAAAACTCCAGAAAGCTCGCACCTGTCAGCGAGCGGAGGAGGGGCTTTCTGCTACAGAAAGCCAAAATCTACTGGAGAAAGCGAAAATTCACCGCCGGACCTTGGGGCTCATCGACACGTTTCCATTTTTTTTTTTGGGGGGGGGGGGCGGTGGCCAGGATTTTGGGGGGGGGGTCACTGGGGAGGGGATTAAGAGGTGGGGAATAGGAGAATCCGAATAGGAACCTCTGACCGCTTCGGCCGGGGCCGAGGCGAATTACTTAGGCTCTTATATCTGTTCATAGCCTTAACGGTTTAGAGTTTAGGAGTTTAAGTTTAGGGTCTAGGGTAGGGCAAGTAACCTTTAACATTCCTGGAGTATTCTCATCCCTATATAGCCCCAAAGGTTAGCATGTAGTCCCCCTGCAGTACTGAGAGGTAAGTCAAGGTGTAGGGCTTTCTTAGGTGTCTATAGGATCAAACCACAGACAATCCGTACGCTTAAGGATTTATAGTTTTGGGGTTCAGGCATGTTCAGGAATCCTAAATGTTGCTTTCACATGCTTGTGATGGGGACTTGTTAACTTTCGAGGTAAACCCGTAGTCGGGCTCGAACTCCTTGGGGCAGTAGGATGTTGCAGATGGACGACAGGCTCGAACTCTTTTTGCGCAGTAGGATGTTGCACCTAGCTTCTTGAGGGCCAACTAGGGCTCAGCAAGTAGTGCCTCTTTGGTCGTGCGACATGTTGTTTGATGTAGAAGTTGGACTGCTTAGCGGCAGGCAAGCTATCGTGAAAGCAGACCCGGACGAACAGGTGGCGACTTTCAAGCTTCGCGCGGAGCTGGCTCTCGGGGTTGGGCATGGGCGGCTGGTAGACTCCTCTGGAGGCTTGCTGGACACAAGTGTGCTGGTCAAGAATACCCCTTTGCGGCAAGGTGGTTCATTGACCTTGCATTTAAGCGGAGTTCGAGTATGTGGCGCCACTAGAGCATTCGCTGTCATTCATGCTAACGGAACTGCTGCGGGTGGGGGTCATCGCGATGATGGTGGTGACAGTGGCTCTGTGCAGGCTCAGCTGAGGAACGTGCAGCAGATTCAAGCCTCCGACAGCGCCTTTGCTGCTCTTCTTGACGATGGATCTGTCGTGACCTGGGGCAACGCTCAGTGTGGTGGTGACAGTAGTTCTGTGCACGATCAGCTGAAAAACGTGCTGCAGATCCAGGCCACTTTCGGTGCCTTTGCGGCCATTCTCGCTGACGGATCAGTCGTCACCTGGGGAGACCCTGCCGGTGGTGGCGATAGTAGTGCTGTGCAGGACCAACTGAAGCCTGTGCAACAGATCCAAGGTGCTTTCTCGGCTTTCGCTGCTATTCTTGTTGACGGGTCCGTGGTGACCTGGGGCGATGCAAGCTTTGGTGGTGACAGTAGTGATGTGCAGGAGCAGCTGAAGAATGTGCAACAGATCCAGGCCTGCAAGTTCGCTTTTGCTGCCCTTCTTCGCGATGGATGCGTCGTGACCTGGGGCTTCGATGTCCATGGCTCTGGCGGTGGAGCGCTCCGGGATAAGTTGCTGTGTTCTTGTTAAGGAAGTTAGTTTAAGTTACCGTAATAGAGATCTATAGTAAATAGTATGGTTTCCTTTTTAAGGTAACTTAAACTAGCACAATTAACAAGAACCCAGGTTGATGTGCGTGCGGCAAATCCAAGCCTCAGAGGGAGCTTTTGCGGCCATTCGTTCGGATGAAACCGTCGTGACCTGGGGTGATGCTGCTATTGGTGCTGCTTGCAGTGACTCCGGTGCAGTGCAGGATCAGCTGACCAATGTGCAGCAGATCCAAGCCACTCGCGCCGCTTTTGCTGCCATTCTCGGCGATGGCTCTGTGGTGACCTGGGGTAATGCAGAATTAGGTGGTGACAGCAGTGCAGTGCAGGATCAGCTGAATAATGTGCAGCAGATCCAAGCCTCTGACATGGCTTTTGCTGCCATTCTTGGAGACGGATCGGTTGTGACCTGGGGTGATGTTTATCACGGTGGTGACAGTAGTTCTGTGCACGATCAGCTGAAAAACGTGCAACAGATCCAAGCCTCCTTATCTGCTTTTGCTGCCATGCTTGGTGACGGCTCTGTGGTGACCTGGGGTAAGGCAGAATTTGGTGGTGACAGCAGTGCAGTGCAGGATCAGCTGAAACATGTGCAACATATCCAAGCCACCGGAGACTCTTTTGCTGCTATTCTTCGCGATGGATCCATCGTGATCTGGGGCATGCGAAGAGTAGCATATCGTTTCCCGTTTATTGAGATGCCGTTTACTGAGCTGCTTTAAGTGGTAGTACTATTCCTGGGTTCCTTCTTGCAAATGCAGCAGAATTTACCCTAAACCACTACACTACAACCCTAGAAAGGTGGCATCCGACAGGTGACCAATGCCGTTGTAACGCCTTTGCAGCATGCCGCGCTTCATCAGTTCAAAAAGGTAGCAAATTGGAAATTAGAACCCCTCCCGTTCTCTCTCACTCATTATCTGGCAGTGCTTTATATTCTCATATAGTATACAGCAAACACGATGGTCATATACTGCTATATACTATACTGTAGTCAGTACAAAGCTGTATGTCATACTGCATGTGTGTATATATATACATACATACATATAGGTACATAGATATAGATATGGATATAGACATAGATTTGGGTATAATTGGGTATAATATGTGCACGAATGTGTACACACAAATATTTATGCATGCATGCATGCATGCATGTGTGTATGTGTATGTGTATGTATACATATGATTATATATGCATACGAATTCTGTATTTTTACACCTGTATGTACGCGCGCAAGTAGGTATTTATGTTCGTGTTTATATGTATGCATACCTGTATGCGCATATATGTATCTAGAGGTGTTGATGTATGCAAGTATATATGCATTTAAGTACTTAAGTAAGTAAGTAAGCAAGTAAGTAAGTTCTCCCGTCAGTAAGCCACTAAGTCAGGAAGCCAGTAGGTACGAAAGGAAGTAGGTAAGCATGTAACTATGTGTGTACGTATGTATGTACCTATGTATGTACGCATGTAGGCATGTATGTACTTATGCATTCGAGCATGCATGCATGCATGCATGCATGCATGCATGCATGGATGTATGTATGTATGTATGTATTTATGTATGTCTGTATGTATGTGTGTATATGTAAGATGGTATGTATGCACGTATGTAGGTAAATATGTGTATATGTAGTGAGTCTATAGGTATGGAGGTAGGTAAGGGGATGTGTGTGTGTGTGTGTGTGCGAGTGAAATATCACTGTCGAATGTGTGTGTGTGTGCGTGTGTCTGTGTGTGTGTGTGGGGACGTGGCATGGTATGGTCGAGTATGATTTGTTGGAAATGCAGTGCAACGCAACGCAATCTAAAGCATGAATGCATGTAGGTATGTATGGATGTATGCATCATTGTGTATCTATTTGTGCATGCACGCACATATTTGCATATGTATGTACGTTTGTATGTACATGTATATGCATATATATATATATATAGATATGGGTGTGTTCATTTATATATATGCCTGTTTAAATTTATATATACCCGTTTTTATGTGTACATATGTGCAGACATGCTTAGGTGCTTTTGTACATATGTACTTGTATTCATATATTTCTGGTTTTGCATATTCATGTTTTTCCGTATGCTTGTTGTACGCTTACCCTCAACCCGAAACTCTACATGCTAACTGTAAGCCGAAATCCGAAAAACCTCAACCCTAAAGCCTAAATTTCCTAAGCCCTACAAACCCTAAACCCCATATAATAAGGCCAAAGATTTAGTGTCAAACTTCACACACTTTAACGGACTTAAACGCTGCGGTGAATCCTCAGAAAGTGAACACCTGTGAAGGGTGATTAGTTATGGGATTCCCTATGCTTTGTTGTTAACGGCGTGTTCAACATGATGTTTCAATTTGCTGGCTTCCACTACAGGGTTTGCGGCTCAGGGCTTAACCATGCCCACCTTTATGGTGATCTGCTTGGTCTGTGCTTGACAAGTCTCGATAGCATAGGCGCCGAACATGGGTAAGGTATTGTCCTAAAGCCTCAGAGCTAAAGCCTCAACCCCTTAACTTCTAACCCCTAAGCCCGAAACCGACACTTTTCCCTGTTGTTATAACCACCCAAGAAACCGAACACTATGCAAGGAGCCCTGGGCACTGCTTTGAACTTCTGTGGTGTGCGGCCGATTGGGAGGCCACTGGAAGTGTGACCTGGTGAAGGAATCCTAAAGAGTTTGGGGATGCTTCGGGTTTAGGGTGCTCGTTTTTTTTTTAATCGAAAGGGGTCCTTTGTTTGGTTTAGGGGGTTGGAATGCGGCCTGGCTGAGGAGAAGATGCCATCCAAAGAGTCCTGTGGTCTTTTAAGGCGTCTATGACTAAACGGTTTTTCGGTGGGCCCTACACCCTAAACCCTAAACCCTAAACCCTAAACCGGGGTGTTTGGGGAGTTGAGGCTTCAGGTGTCAAAAAGTCTTCTTCTAGTCTAGGCTTTGTGGGTTTAGGGTTTAGGGTTTAGGGTTTATAGAAATTGTTAAGGGTTTGGGTCCCAAAAACGTTTTGACCGAAATGTTTTGAACGAAACGTTTTGAACGAAACGTTTTGACCGAAACGTTTTGAGCGAGTTTTTTTGCGAACCATGTTTTCAAGATTGTTGGGTCCCACAAACGTGTTGACCGAAACGTTTTGAACGAAACGTTTCGGTCAGATTTGAGCGAGTTTTTTTGTTGCGAACCATGTTTTCAAGATTGTTGGGTCCCAAAAACGTGTTGACCGAAACGTTTTGAACGAAACGTTTCGGTCAGAAGGTTTTGAACGAAACGTTTTGAACGCAAGTTTCGAACGATTTGTTTTTCAATTTTCTTGTGGGGCTGCGAAACGTTTGGGTCCCAAAGACGTTTGGGGGGCCGCGAAATTGGTGGCGTGCTACTAGGATCGTCGTCGCGAAGTTGATGTAGGATGACGGGGATCACGTGAGCAGGCATATGTTCGTACTTAGCTCGGTTGATGCAAATTCCGCACATAATATAACGGGATAGGAGGAACGGGGAGGGGGGGGGGGGGGCGGTCACGAAATTGGTTGCAGTGCAAAAATTGCAGATACCCGCAGCATCATTGCGACTTTGAAGTCGCATAAACAGGTTCATGCGAAACGTACCGTTCGTACTTAGCTCGGTTGATGCAAATTCTTTACATAGCATAACGGGATAGGAGGAACGGGGAGGGGGGGGGAGGGGGCGAACATAGCATAACGAGATAGGAGGAACGGGGAGGGGGGGGGGGCGGCCAAGAAATTGGTTCAGTGCAAAAATTGCAGATACCCGTAGCATCATTGCGATCATTGCGTGGCAGACTTCTTACTGTTACGGGGTCACTTAGCTCGGTTGATGCAAATTCCGCACATAACATAACGGGATAGGAGGAACGGGGAGGGGGGGGGGGCGGCCAGGAAATTGGTTCAGTGCAAAAATTGCATATACCCTAGCATCATTGCTACTTTGAAGTCGCATAAACAAGTTCATGCGAAAACGTAAGCTCCGTTGATGCAAAATCCGCACATAGCATAACGGGACAGGAGGAACGGAGAGGGGAGGGGGGGGGGGGCGGCCACGAAATTGGTTCGGTGCAAAAATTGCAGATACCCGCAGCATCATTGCGACTTTGAAGTCGCATAAACAGGTTCATGCGAAAACGTATCGTTCGTACACAGCCGCACTAGATTGGTTTCAGTGGGTTCTCCCACGGCGTTCCGGCACGCTAATTCCCGGCTTTTCTGGTATATAGTTTAGAAACGCCGAGCTCGTAGTGTATGGTGTCGCGTTAGGCTTGTTGGAGTCTCTTGGGTCCGCGCGATATTGTAGATTGTAGACGTTCGTTTCGGTTCTGTAACTCTGAGCTCGCGCTGTAGTGGAGCTTGTGGCCCTGTGCTCTCTTCTTTAAGCGGGTTGGGTAGCCGCCTGCGTGGGCGGGTGAACGGTCGGCCGGATCTCCAGGTCGCTGCCTAAACCCTAAACCTTAAACCCTACACTCAAAAGCTTAAGCCTGAATGCTCAGCTTCTGCCTTCTCACGTACAGGAGCGTAACACACCTGTACGGGAATGAAACAAAAGACTTTCTAGTCTTACCTAGAGGTAAATGGCAATTGTAGAGCTACAATTACAGCCATTTACAGGTAGACATCATGAGTGGATGCAAGTATTCCTTAATATATATCTGTAGACAGTACTGTCAGGAATATACAAGCAGCTGACAACCAGCCACAAAACAGCCTCCTGGGGCAAGCTTTGCGAGCCATTTCGCCTGGAGGCCACCAAAAGAAGATGTTCTTCAGCTGACAACCAGCCAGAAACAGCCTCCTGGGGCAAGCTTTGCGAGCCATTTCGCTTGGAGGCCAACAAAAGAAGATTTTCTTCAGCTGACAACCAGCCACAAAACGGCCTCCTGGTGCAGGCTTTGTGAGCCATTTCGCCTGCAGGCCAACAAAAAAAGATTTTCTTCAGCTGACAACCAGCCAGAAACAGCCTCCTGGGGCAAGCTTTGTGAGCCATTTCGCCTGGAGGCCATTAAAAAAAGATTTTCTTCAGCTGACAACCAGCCACAAACAGCCTCCTGGGGCAAGCACAGAGCCACCAAGATCCGGAAGTACGATTTGTTGCGGATAAGAGTGGGCCACACAGAGCCACCAAGACCCGGAAGTACGATTTGTTACGGATAAGAGTGGGCCAGGGGCAGGGGCAGGGCAGGGGGCGGGGGGGGCAGGGCAGGTGCGGTTTGGGGTTTGGGGGGGTTGGGGGGGGGGGCCGGAGCGCGGGGGCGTGGGCGGCGGAGGCAAAAGTTTAAACGGGAAACTGGTTTGAGCGGATTGCCGCTTAAGCGTCAGCCCTATAGAAAGAAGAGTTGGTTAAGGCGACGACTACGCTGTCAAACCCTAAACCCTAAACCCTAAACCCTAAACCTTAAACCCTAAACCTTAAACCCTAAACCCTAAACCCTAAACCCTAAACCCTAAACCTTAAACCCTGAACCCTAAAACCCTAAACCCTAAACCCTAAACCTTAAGCCCTACACTCAAAAGCTTAAGCCTGAATGCTCAGCTTCTGCCTTCTCACGTACAGGAGCGTAACACACCTGTACGGGAATGAAACAAAAGACTTTCTAGTCTTACCTAGAGGTAAATGGCAATTGTAAAGCTACAATTACAGCCATTTACAGGTAGACATCATGAGTGGATGCAAGTGTTCCTTAATATATATCTGTAGACAGTACTGTCAGGAATATACAAGAGATATTCTACCCTAAACCTCCCTGACGGAGATCTCGTTTTCATCTGCTTCTGGGAGAAATTGGTGTACCTGATGAAGCTGACCCAGCCCAGTGTGTCACGCCTGGAACCCGTGCTGAAACTCCTGGACCGGGAAGTCCTGGAATTGGTGACTGGCGATGCAACTGCTTGGGAAGATGGAGAAGAACGAGGCCAGACTGAAAGTCTGTACTCTTGCTGACGTTCACGTAGTCGCAATGCTTTGAGGTGCACAGCTGATGGCGCATGCAGCTCGGGCCAGTTCCTACAATGTCAGAGGACACACCTGCGGGCTGCACGAGCGCTTTGTCGACAAGGCGGTGACAGCAGGCATCTCGACTTGGCTGGCATCGTTACAGCGCATGTTTGTCTCTGAGAACACCTTCCGCCTGATGCTGTTTTGACCCGTTTCAGGAGAGCCTGGTCCGGATGTGCTCCATGCATTGAGCTTCTCGTGCGTGGGCCATCACGTGCCGTGCTCAGAATGTGTCTGAACTCATTGCTCTGCCTGCTGATTCCCTGTCCGTTTTCTTATGTTGATGGAAGACTGCTGCGGGGGTGAGCACGACTGTTTGGCTCGTCTATGTTGCAACTGAGTCCCCCAAAAAAACTTCTCATCCCGTTCAATCGCCGATCTGAGAATTAAGATAGATGTGAGCCCAGGCGATGGACGTTCCTCATAAATGGTCCATGGAGCATTTTTTGGGCGTGAAAGGACGGTTCCAGAAGGCCTTCGGACTGGTGAGGCGGGGTCAGAAATGCAACAACTGAAGGTTGCTTGTTGAAGCCTTGTGAACAAGCTGGCTTCTGGGTGGCTTGCCAGGAAAAACACGCAGCGCATCACGAAGACATTGCAGCCTCAGTTTCCGGTTTTGCTACCTCGGCAATCCCGAATGGAAGCCCTGAAGTTTGTGGTCGCTTGGCTCACTGGAAGATAGTTATTTTCCCGCGTGTAAAGTACTGTTCACAATCGTTGAGACTCAGGAACAGAGGTTGCTGGATACCAACGACCAGATGGGGATGGTTTGGATGCCGCGTGGACGGCATGTGCTTGGAGCCGACGCGGCCCGCCTCCTCCGGCCCTTCCTCTTCGAGAGAGTCACTCCACATCAAAAGAGGCAGATTCACCTAACTCGCTTCAAACATATTTGACCCCAATGGCAGCTTTGGAGGTTCGCCAAGATCAAGGTGGCGCAGGAGATGGCGTGCTTCGTGAAGCACGTGGCCAAAGCTTATCTCAAGAAGAACAGCCCTCGACAATGGCGTCGGCTGGCGCGTGAAGAACTCAAGCGAGCGCTCTGTAAATCACGACGGACAACGCTCAGGACATTGTGACATTTGTAATTCTGGTTGTGACCGTCTGTGAAACAGAGGAGCCTGCCTTATCTCCTGCTTTCGCCATTGCCGTGACCATCTCATTTGTGTGGGGTGCCTAGATGAACACTTGCAAAAGTAATCATAACAGATGTTGTGCATGGGTCAACCGCATGGTTCCAAGGCGAGCAGATGCCGAACGTACTACTACTACTACTACTACTACTACTACTACTACTACTACTACTACTACTACTACTACTACTACTACTACTACTACTACTACTATTACTACTACTCCTACTACTAATAATAATAATAATACTTTACTGCTACTACTCCTACGACGACCGTAATTACTACTACTATTACTACTACTACTACTACTACTACTACTACTACTACTACTACTACTACTACTACTACTACTACTACTACTACTACTACTACTACTACTACTACTAACATGATGCGTGTGAGTTCCTTTAGCGTTGCCTTGAGTACTCCCAGGCTCCTGCCTTTCTAGGTCGTTGGGAGGCTAGGCGTCCAGATAGGGTAGGATGCAGTGACGCAGGTGTGCTCCGGAGGGCCATCCTTCTTCACGGGTGCGCCTGATGAGCCGCTGACACTTCAGCACTTGGTTGACTGCTGGCACTCGCAGGAAGCAAAGCATGCACTGTTGCATCGTAGTGGGGTGGTCTTTGTGCAGTTCGGTAGATATAGAGGTCACCACTCTAATATCCAACGACAGGTTCGAGTGCGGCCTGGTGACCCTCTGGTCATGCCTATCTTTGCTGAGCCTGAGGGCCTTGAGCTCCGTCGTGAGACCTTCATTGTGGCTGCTGTGGTGTATCATATAGGGGAGAGAGTGGATCGTGGTCATTACCTCACCCCTGTTGGTACGACCGAGGCCCATCACTGGCGATACTCTGTCCGTGATGATAATCGTAAACCCCGAAAGGCTAAAGCTGCCGACCTCCTGCAAGTAGACTGCAATGCCTATCTTGTAGGTCTGATTCGGAGCTCCTAGTGTAAGAGCCTGGGCGCTGAACACACGCTGACGTGTTTTGTTCGGCGCCGATCTGCACAGGCCGCCACTGCCGAAGCGTATTGAGGGGCCTTTGTCAAAATCATCTGCTCATTCTGCAACATGCGTTTTTCCTCGTGCCTCACGTGTGGCATGCCTTTTGCAAGCCTTATCCGATCATCGTTGTGCAACACACTGCCTGTGCTGCCTGAGCACTGAACGAGTAATTGCCTTGTTGGGCCAGCTGGGCTCTAGCTGGGCGGGTGCGTCTAGGTCGACTGCGCCCGCGAAGCTGCGTGTGGGTAGCGCAGCTCGCTGTGCCACGTAGGCTCCAGTTCCTTGGCCGGAGCCCCGATCTGCTTTTTGAGCTGCCTTGCTGACTTTGTGTTTGCTGTCTCAGCCGATGGCAGTCTGCAATGCTCACGCCTGATGTATGCCCCAGCCTGTTTTGGGACGAGGGGGGGCGAACCATCTCTGAGTTTGTAGGGGATTTCTAGCGTAGGCTTCAGACCAGATTACCGCGAAACTCCCCGATTGAGCTTAAAATACCCCGCTTCCAGGTGCGCCGCCCATGGCCTCATAGAATAGCTGCTTCGTTGTCCGATGCCCGTCGGTTCGGCTGTATAACTAGGCTCAGGGCTTAGGGTATGTCCAGCAATCTAACGAAAGCCGAACTTCGTCTACGGTTCTCAGGTCTACGTGGATGGTCCTAACGCTTGTCGTGGCGGCTCGCTGCTCAGTTCACTGCTCTCATCCGCAACTCGTTCCCCACCCAAGGTCGCCGTGGCTTCCGTCTCGGTGCGTGCAAGTCCGGCTCTCATCCAAAATTCGCCCTCGATCAAATTGGAACCCGAATCCTATAACAGTGCTACGCAGCTTCGTATCCTTTCTCCTGGACCGCTTCACCGCCGCCCGGTGCTCGACGACCGATCTTACTATGTCTGCATTCGTCGACAAACTTGCACGACCCAGGTCTAGCGATGCATCCTCGAGTTCTTTGCCGTCCCTAGCTCGTTAGCCGTGTTTCAGCTGTTGGTGTCCACTTTAGTGCTTGACTTTCGACTGGTGCACCATGGACGACTAAGTCATGGAGGAGCAGAGCTACACGTGAGAAGCCGGGCCCGTTTCGACCTATATGTTGCACTGCTTGTTATGACTACATGGATCGAGGCTGGGACGTTCTCGCCGAGCCTCGGAGTTCTGGACATGGGGCCTGGATTTCGGTGGAGCCAAATTCAATGTCTAGTGAGACTTGCAACGGGGTCCGCTGGGGGCAGGGGTAGGGGCAGGGCAGGGCAGGGCAGGGAAAGCTTGCCACCCACTCGCTGAAGGGTTTAAGTAAATTGAGTTGAGCCCCCGAGGCGGGTTGAGGAGTGTAAGTAAATCGAGGTGATGAACCGAAGGAGGGGTCGAGTCAATTGAAGTAATAAACCACCGAGACTTGAGCTGGCTGGGTTGAAGGTTTTAGAGAAATGGGTTTATCAAGAAAATTCGATTTTGGGTTTGGGGTGCTGGGCCGCAGCTGTGGCTACAAACAAAGACAAGCAATTTCTATTTATCACTTTCTTGAGGGTTTAGGGTTTAGGGTTTAGGGTTTAGGGTTTAGGGTTTAGGGTTTAGGGTGATGGTTGAAGGCTTTGGGCTTTGCAGGTTGTCTCTGGAACTTTAAGTGTTCAGGGTTTTGGTCATTTGGGGCAACGGGGTTCGCTAGAGGATCTCTCTTTGGGTATTTAGGCACCCAGGGTCCGCATTGGATTGTGGAGGATTTAAGTCACCATTTACACAGTTTTTGTCTTTGGGGTGTGCGTGCTGGTTTTCCTGTTTCAGATTTTTTTCCAGTACACTTGCTTCAGAGGTCTTCCCAAGTCTAAACCCTATACTAAACCCTAAACGGCTTCGTCTACTTGGAGGGGCAGGGGACTTAGTAAGTAGATTATAAGTAGAGTTATAAGTACCCTGAATGGTGTTACCCAAATTATGACCTTACTTATGAGGCGACTTACGAAGTCCCGTGCCCTCCAAGTAGAGTCTTGAGTTCTCAGGGTAGAAAGGGGGAGATCTTCGGATTTGGGACTTAGGATTCAGCGTTTATCGGTTGAAGGTTTAGGGTGTAGGTAAAGCCTGAACCCTAAGGATTCTAGGGGATGGCGCATGTCAGAAGTCCGGGCGTTTTGATGGCTGTGGCTTCTGGGGCGTAGATGATTAGGGCTTTGGGGTTTAGCGTTTGGGTTTTTGGTCTAGGGTTGTGGGCTTACGGCTCAGGGTTTAGGTTGTTTAAAACCTCCAGTTGAGACTTTTAACTAAGTTTTGCAGACATCCACGTTGGTTGGGGCTGTAGGTGGTTCAGGGTTTGCGGGGGTTTTAAGGGTAGAAACAGGTGACGGTATACTAGCAGACCCTGTTTGGCCTGTTAGGAGGCCCATGTAACACGGGTCTTGGAGTCTACACTGCGATTCCACGAAACCTAAAAGGTATACCCCAAACACTGACCATTAAGGTGCAGGGGTTTTGGTTGAGCTTCGGGTTGATCCGTGACTGGCAGTCGACATCCACAGAGCCACCTACAACAAAGGGCCCGAACTAGGGACCCCAAAAAGGATCTGGGCATGAGCTTCTTATAGGGATATCCCTACGTGATTGGGCTTCATCATAAGGGGGCTTATATGGGATATCCCAGACCTCATGTTTGTTTATGTGCTTTCTGGGGGGCCCTGCTAACATAAACCCCAGAAGAATCCTTATTCTGAAGATCCCTAAATCAAAGGGGAAAAGGAGGGACCCTTAATGGGGACCCCTACCCTATAATGGGCTATATAATGGGTATATAATAGCTACATTACGGGTATATACCTAGGGGTCCCCATTAAGGGTCCCTCCTTTTCCCCTTGGACTAAAGCAGGCACCTCCGCTTTCCATGCCCAGGCCCCAGAGGAGGCCCTTATTCCCTTCTTAGGGTTTAGGTCCCTTATAAACCCCCCTTGAAAGGAAAAAGGGCACCCTTTTTGTTCCTAGGTTATTCTTAGGTCTAGATAAACTCCCATCTTTTTGAAGTGAGGTTTGATGCTGATGTGCGCACGGGCGTGATCCGCCGCGTGCAGGAGAGGATTTGTCCTGTACCCAAAACCTGAACTTCAAAACGGTTTGCACACCCAGAAGTTTACTACAAACGTGACGCAGCAGGATCGTAGCAAGACGGAGCATCCACCAAACCTCAGCGCATCCAAACCTGCAAGGTCACAAGATTCGAAGACTGAAACCCAAAGTAGTTTTAAACTTTGTCATAGTTGGGTAACATATTTATGGGTACTTAAACCCAATAACAAGTTTAAATTTTTAATCCTATCCCAACCATGAACTAGTTTGAATCGAAACATTACATGCTAGCCGGCGTGTTGAGCCAAACTGTAATGCTGCGGCAGCATGTAAAGCTAGAAGGTTAGAAACTACCCACAAAGCTCGATACATCATAGAACTCCAGGACATCCTAGGACGACAAGTCCTTCCAGAACTTCGAAAACCACGAGAACACCTTGGGCTGAATCCTGAACCCCAAGCCTTATGCCGAAAAGCCCGAAATCTAAAACCTAAATCCAAGTCCAAGCCCCAAATACTCTGAGACCCTCTGACCCTAAGCCCTACACCCCATTTAGCATCCTTCTATAACACTTACAGAACTCTAGCTTGTAAAGCTTGTTGCAGGACCCTTATGAAAGCCGTATAGTACCCTTTTAGAAATAGTACTCGATAGAAGCAGTTCTCCCCCCCCCCCCAAATGACACGATTCCCACCTGAGCGAACCGACCGAACCCATCACCCCAAACCCCAAAGCCTATACCCGGACAGTGCTTTTATACCCTAGACCCTAAAGCCAGACAGTACCTTTATAGAACCCCTCAGAGGACGATTCTAAACCCTAAACCCCAAACTCTAAACCCAGATAGTAGCTTTATGGAACCCCTACATACCCCTTATCGAACTCCAACATATCCCTTATAGAACCCTCTAAGGATCCGTTATGGAACCCTTTCAGGATCCCTTATAGAACCCCTAAACCCAGATAGTACCTCTATCGAGCCCCTAAACCCCAAACTCTAAACCCTGTTTAGAACCCTTTACGGATCCCTTATAGCCCTTAAAGGATCCCTTTTTCAAACCTTATAGATACCCTTCAGAGGAACCCTTATACGTACCCCTTGAAGGAACCCTTATAGACACCCTTGAAGGAACCCCTATAGATACCCTTAAAGGAGCCCTTATAGATACCCTTGAAGGAACCCTTATAGATACCCTCAGAGCACCCTTAAAAGAACCTTATCAGAGGACGATTGCGCTGAAGCCACGGAGCCTGGCGACCGGCGCCCCTCCCTAGCGGCGGCAGAGGCGCTGAAAGCTGCGGCCCGGCTCTCAGAGGGGTTCCCTTAAAGGCTTCCTTTAGAGGGTTCCGTTTGAGGGTTCCTTTAAAGGGTTGTTCTATGAGGGATTTATCAAGATTTAGGGGTCTTGATTGTACCTTTTATTAAGGATATTCCTCAATTACGGGATTCTGGACTCTATGGGTACTCGTAGAGGTTTCTAAGGTTTAGGGTTTATTGTTTAGGCTACGCGCGCACTTATGACCGCATGATTTCGGCATGTTGTCGCAGGTTGCAGGGCTTTCCTTCGGTGGTTGGGATTGATGACGTCCACTTCGCCACCGTCACCATTCGTATCGTCACTGGTGGTGACTTCTCCAACATTACTACTGTTATGCACAGCATCATCTTCGTCGCGTCATCACCATGATCATGCCCTGCGAGCCGTTCGGCGCCCAGTGTTAACGCGTATTGTGGCACGGCTCAGATATCTGATTTGGCCAAAGTCCCTCATTCGAGTGAATTGGCCGAAAGCATGGCGAAACACAAGCTCCGCATCAAGGATGTTTTGCACGCATTTGACAGCAGCACCAAGGGAGACAACGTGGATGTCCGGCAAGAAAGAAGCAGTCGAGAAAGCTGCCCAAGCTATGAGCCCTATCCAAGCAGACATGCGTGGGGCGGCACGCAGAATCAAGGCTGCGGGGGTCAAGCCGACCAGAGGTGGGGACACAGCGACAGAGGCGGAGACAAAGTGATCACGATCGCTCTGCAGCTCGGCGTTGCAAATCTAAGATTGTCGTCTTTGCTCCTCTGCTGCTGCAGCTGCTACTCTAGCTCGGCTGTGGGTGGAGGGGGAGATGGTGACGGTGATGCCGCCCCCCTTGCACGTATAACGCTCAAACCCCATGCTAGTTGAAATGTCCTCTTGCCACTACCGTTCCCTACTTCTGCTGCAGCTGCTAGTCTAGGTTGACTTCTGTCACTGCAACTACCACTATGGGGCTTTACGTCCTGGCCAGTCCAAGACGGCGGCACGCAGACGCCAGATCAGATTTGGAGGCCTCTCAAGCGATATGAGTGGTTGTCAAAACTAGGGTCCCTTTTTGGGCACCAAAAACAATAGGTGCCGTATTATAGTAGGGACCCATATTTTGACAACCACCCATATGTGCCCTACAGCATCGCATTGAAAAGGCATGCTGGCGGGTCATGCTGAACGTACCCCTGTTGCAATACTGTGATTCATCTAGGATGCCCAGTAGTACCCTTATTCCCTTTTTGTAGTCCTAGGTTCCTTACAAAGTTACCCAATACCAAAAAGAGAGCTACCCAATACCAAAAGAGAGGCCTCTTTATTCTCAGGTTACTGGGTATCCTAGACTCTGAACCTTCACGAGCAGCTGTGGAAACCCTGCATCCCCCCTACTAAACCATGCCCGGGTTTTCCTACGTACGCTCCGAGTAATTACAGAGCCCTTATAGATTCCTTATAGTAACCCTTATAGGACCCTTTAAAGGGACCCCCTATATTCCCCACTAACCAACCCTAAACCCTAAACCCTAAACCCTAAACCCGAAACCCTAAACCCTAAACCCTAAACCCTTAACCCTTAACCACTAGCCAAAGCTTCGGGCAGTTTCCCGGCCTCTCGAAGGTGCGCGAGGCGAAGGTGAAGGAGTCCGACGTTTGGATCGGGCTCCCCAGGCCAGCCCCAGAGGTTTAGAGTTTAGGGTTTAGGGTTTAGGGTTTAGGCAGAGACTCCAATATCCTTGAATTAAGAAATATACCTCAAATTATAGTAGGATCCCTAATATGATTTAAGGAATATTCCTTAATTAAGGGATATTGGAGTTTTTGGGGCGCGTGTTCTAGAAGGGTCAGGGTTTAAGGGTTTAGGGGTTTAGGGTTTGGGATTAGGGTTTAGGGTTTAGGGGTTTAGGGTTTAGGGGGTTAGGGTTTAGGGGTTAGGGGTTTAGGGTTTAGGGCTTTAGGGTCTCGTTTAGGGTTCCTTCAAGGGTTCCGTTAAGGGATCTATAAGGGATCTATATGGTTCAGGGTTGAGGGGTTGGGACTTAGGGTTTAGGGTTTAGGTTCTAAGTCCCAACCCCTAAACCCTGAACCATATAGATCCCTTATAGATCCCTGAACGGAACCCTTAAAGGAACCCTAAAAGAGGGCTTTGGTCTAGGGCTTGTTGTTCAAGGCTGTGTTAAGGTTACGGGCTCCAGTCACCAAGATCTACGGTAATATCAGTGTTCTATGGGGGTTGCTATACTTCAAGGATCATGGGACTTAGTATCTAGGGTTATAAGTAAGGTAACCACACCTACAGTTACTTATTATAGCCCCAGTGCAGTTAAGGTACTTATAACCTTACTTACTAAGTCCCATGACACTCCAAGTAAACCCCAAGCAGGGACCCTAATCCTCATTAGATCCCTCGTCTAGAACCCTCCGAGGATCCTTTGAAGTTCCTTAGATCCCCAATACCTAGCCTTTAAACTTTTTGGAATCTTCTAGTTTAGTAGGAATCGGAAAGCTTAACCTTTTAGATCTGTGGCTTATTGGGGTAGCAAGGTTCCTAAGATACTCCAAGTAAGGCTGCAAGGGTTGCTACAGGAGGTCGGGGTCCTTCAGGGGGCCTGCGCAATTGAGAGTAATAACCACTATCTTTGTTGTCTAGAGTTTGCTATACTATAATATACCATATACCGTTACCCGAAAACCTTGTTCTAACTATTTGGTCTTGTTATCGTCGTACTAAAATCACTGAGTTACCTTGGCTTTCTGCGTTTATTGTTGGGAGAAGCCCCCACAACACCACATCAAAATGCCAGTAAAACTCACGCGAAGCAGTTTATAAAGCCTTGCCTGGAGGATCATGGGATGCAGTGAGTCAGGTCATAAGTACCGTAATCGGGGTTATAGGCAATTATGGGTGCAGTTAGCTTATTTATGACCCACTTACTCAGTCCCATGACCCTTGAAGTATAGAGTAAGAAGCGGACTAGACCCTAAACCCTAAACCCTAACCCCTGCTTCAAAGCCTTAAAACGACCCCAGGGTCCGACTGAGAGAGTCCGCAAAGCTGCGTGTGGCCCCCGGCGCCGGGGAGTGGGCGCTTTACCCCTGGGGCCCCGTGGCCGCGTGGAGTGGGTTTGTTTGAGGGATCCAAAGGGTTTGGGGTTTAAGGTTCCTTCAAAGGATCTATTGGGTTCCTCTGAGGGATCTATTAAGGATCTATAGGTACCCAGAGACTCCTATATCCCTGTGTCAAGGAATATAGCTTAATTCATATTAGGGATCCTGCTATAATTTGGGGTATATTCCTTAACTCAGGGATATTGCAATCTCTGGGTTATTCAGGGTTTGAGGTTTTTTTACGGTTTAGGGTTGGTTTTTGGGAATATTTATGGTTTACGGTAATTCAGGGGCTGGGGGTTTGGGGTAATTAGGTTTTCTAGTTTAGGGTTGTTTCGGATGTAGGGTTGAGGATTTATCTTGGCGTTCTTCTGGTTGGCTCTTTAGTTTAGGGGTTTAGGGGTTTAGGGTTTAGGGTTTAGGGTTTAGGGTTTAGGGTTTAGGGTTTAGGGTTTAGGGTTGGTTTCTGTATGAACTGTAATAAGGAGGCTAAAAGTTTAACTTTTAGAGGAGGGGTTCAGAGGTCAGCCAAGTTATGTAATTTAGAGCTTAGGGCCTTTCGGGTGCTATTTAGGGCTTAGAGTTAAGTGGAGTTTAGGCTATGGGTTAAGTCAAGGTTATTTAGGGTGCCTGGGGTTCAGAATTTGGAGTTTAGGGCCGTGATCAGAATAGCATTTTCTTAAGGGTTCTACAAGGGCTACTATTTAGCTAGTAGGACTCTAAACCCTGTCTAACAGAAAAGAGAACCCTAAAGCTTAAACCGCGTCTAAAACACTCCTTAATAAGTAGAATAGGGTTTTGGGGCCCATCAAAAACAGGAACCCCCAAAATAGTAGAGGTAATTTGTGTAATCCTTCCAAAACTCCGTAAAACCCCATGAACCCCATAGGAAACCTCCGTCTCCCCCCTAAACCCTAAACGGTAGGACCTCTCAATCCCTCGAACCCCGAAGGGTGAAATACAGAAGCCTGGGTATTTCTTACACGGCTCCATGGTACAGTATATTCCAAAACCCTATTCTAACTGTGTCTAGTTGTTAAACTTCTCTTTGTGGCACCCTTTTGCGCTTTTTGAGGCGTCTTCTGCTGAACCCCGAGTAGTAGGAAATTGCATACCCTTGTCATTAAGAGGCCACTGGAGAACCTAGTACTCCGACTATATGGGTAGTTCCCTAAGTTGGGGTCCTTTTTGGGGTCCTCCCAAGATAGTACGGCAGCCTAAGGACCCTAAACGGGACCCGAGCTAATTTGGAGACTGCCCATATAAGTATCCTAAACCCCGAAAGCCCTAAACCCTAAACCCTAAAATCCTACAGCCCTAACACTAAACCCTAAACCCTAATTTGGAGAACTAGCCAAATGGGAGTTTCCGAAAATCGGGGATCCTAATATAGTACCCTAAATAGTAGGATCCCTATTATAAGGACCCCTCAAGGTATCCCTAATTTTCGGTGAGCTACCCACATTAAGGGCCCCTAGTGCGAAGAAGCGAGGAGTCATTTCGGCGGAGGGGAGCTTGGTGCTCAAGGAGGGGTTTCGGAGGGTTTAAGGGTCTAAGGGTTTGGGTTCCTTTTAGGGATCTATAGGGTTTCTTAGGGTTCAGGGCTTTCGGAGGGCTTTAGGGGATAGGGTTTAGGGCCTAGGGTTCAGGGTTTAAGGGTTTAGAGGTTTAGGGGTTCAGCGTTTTCGGAGGGTTTAGGGGTTCAGGGTTCCAGCAGGATTTCATAAGGTGTCACGGGCTTTTATTCGGGTTTCATAAGGTTTGCATTGGGTTTTAGCCAGGTGTTGCACACGGTGTTGCAACTTGTTAAGCATGCCTCTTCAAGTTTAGGTATGTCAGGTATGTTCTTGACAAGCCCTTTACCAAACCCGCTAAAAAGCCTTTAAACCCTTCTAGAAGCCAACAAAACCTTAATGCCTAAACCCGTACACCTTAAACCCTACACCCTAAACCCCTACTTGGAGGGTCGGGGGGCTTAGTAACTGGTTATTTTAGGGACTTATAAGTACCATAACCCCAATTAGGGTCCCTTTTAGGGTACTTATATATAAGTCTACTTACTACCTAACTACTAAGTCCCCCGACCCTCCAAGTACCCTAAACCCCTACCTGGACCCTTAGGAACCTACCTTTTTAGGTTTCCCTGACTTCTTTGAATAAGTCCTCAAAAAAGGTAGGTCATTTGGGGTTAAGGTACACCCTAAAAAGACCACTGCTTGGAATCATAGCCCTCCTACCAGGACGCGAGCCCACGCGCTGAGGGCGTGTGCTCCGTGGCTTAGATTTTGCGGTTCGAGGTTTTATAGGTTTAGGGTTTAGGGTTTAGGGGTTTAGGGTTTAGGGTTTAGGGTTTAGGGGTTTAGGGTTTAGGGTTTAGGGTTCGAGGTTTTATAGGTTTTCGTGAGCAAGGTGCGGGTGTATCAGGGTTTTGCTAATTTTGTGTAGTTGTTTTTGAGGATGTTTTGATTTCATGGCTTCGCAGAGTGATTAGTGTTTTGAGATTGAAGGGTTTGGGTTAGAAGCTGCCCCCACCCTGTAATAGTGGCTTTAAGGGTTATATTCGGGCCTTATTATATTCCTATTATACCACTATTACAGCGTGGGGGCCCATTCTAAGGTTTGGGGTTTGAAGATGTAGGGTTTGGCTTTAGGCTTAGGGGCTTAGGGTAAATGGTTGCAGGTGAAGGCTTCAATCGGCAGAAGCCCTAAACCCTCAACCAGGAGCCCTAATGCCGAATCGACTGTCATCCGAAAGCCTTGACCCAAAAGCGACCGTTAGGTTTAGGGTTTAGGGTTTAGGGGTAGTCACTCCAAACCTATACTTGGAGGTTCATGGGACAGTAAGCACAGTTACAAGTAGCAAAATTGGGGATATAATTATCACATATTTTGGAACCCGGGACACGAAGCTCCATGAACCTCCAAATAGACAGACCATACTGTGACCCCAACACGCGAAAGACAGGGTTTTGTTTTCATCAGGGACGTGCATTAGACCGCAAACCCCGAACCCTTGCGGATCACTTATCTTATTGTAGCCCTTAGCATACCCTGTTTTCGCCAGGGATCTGCATCACTCCGAGCTCTGCTCGTGGTTGTGCAGGCCATGGGATCCCGAAATTCCCGGACTTTTCCAAACTCCCTGAATTAAGGGATGTACCCTAAATCTTGTTAGAGACCCTACTATCAATTAAGATACATTCTTCCGTAAAGCTATATTGGAAAATCTGGCAAGGTCACAAGAGCATTGATCGGATCCAACTCTTCGCTTCCTCGGCGGACGGAGAGGCCAGGGTTTAGAGTTTCGGGGATTTGGGGCGTAGGCTTCGGGATTTACTCTTTGGGTTTAGGGGTTCAGGGTTGGGGTTTAGGCTTTGGGTTTAGGGGTTAGGGTGTAGCCCGACCGTAATCCTGAACAAAACCGCGACGTGCCTTCTCCTACCCTGCCTTCTTGGGCCCAACTTAAGCCAAGCCCTGGACCCTTGATCCAAGCCCTGAACTCTTGACAAAAAAACATCGCTCTTCCATACTACAGTAAAATAAAATCCCATGAGGCTGAACTTCGGTGTCGTTCAAGGCTTGAGGCTTAGGGTCTTGGGCTTGGCTACAAGCGGCTCCCTTCTTTTTGGTTCTGAGTCTTCTTAGTATAGCAGCCCAATTCGTGGGGTTTAGGGTTTGGGGTTATTCAAGCACTACCAAGATCCTAGGCAAGTTCTGACTTGGCCAAAGTGCTACAGGTTCGCTTGATTCGCTGATCTGACCGACAGATGTCCGCGAATAGTAATAGAAGCCTGCATCAACAATATTCCGGGAAGGATTTGTGACTGTTCATTATCAGTCAGACTATTCCGCCGAAGAGGCCCGGCCGGAAGAGGAGCCTGCTCAGGAATGTTAAGTCGAAAGCGAAGGCCAAGAACGCCAAGAAGAAAGCGAAGGGCAATGCCATGAAGTCCTCAACATCGTCTCCAGAGGTGTACAACCATAACATCCTCTTCTCCGAGGCAGCCGGGAGGACCAGCTCCTTCTACCGTGCCTTGATCCTCAGGCTGAAGGAGGAGAACGCGGTGAGCAAGCAGGTCTTTGAGACCCTCCTCCTGTGCGCTTCCGCTTGCTCCACGAAAGAATCGTTCAACCAGGCTCTTACGCAGCTCGTTGCAGACGAAAACTTGGTCGAGGAGGTTAAGGACTTCGTTGAGGAGATCGCGGTGGAGAACACAGAGGACGGGATTGAGGAAGACCAAATCCTCATAAGTCACCTGACCAGTGCCCTCCCTGACTGCACGGCGATGATCTTGTTTCCTTTTCATGCGTATAGTATGACCCCCAATAAGCCCCTAAACGCTAAACTCTAATCCTAATCCCTAAAATGATCTTGTTATGGCCCTCACATTTCAGAGGGTCTCCATGCTGTTCTGGAGTCTTTACAGAGTTTGGGTTCTGCCGTTCGATATGCGGCGTTTCTGTGGCGGCCCAACCCGTTTAAGCATTATAAGCAATGTGCAAACAATGAAAGACCAATGAACATTGTACAAAAGCCTGTTGTCCCGAGACCTGAAACCCCAACCAGCCTTAGCCCCAAGCCCTTAAATACATCGTAGATATCACTAAAACTAGGACCTAGAGTAGGCCCTTATTCCCTTTTTTCGGTTCAGGTTCCCTTATAAGCCCCTTTAGACCGAAAAGGGCACCCTTTTTTATTCCCAGGTCAGTCTTGGGTCTAGAAGAAGCCTAAACCGGAAACCCTAAACTATGCAGCAAATCCCGATGAAAAAATCCTTTCGGCCTCGACCCCCCAGAGTCTCCAATATCCCCTAATCAGCGAATATGTTTTAGGGTAGTTTCCCTTAATTAAGGGATGTTGGAGCCTTCTAAACCCTAAGCTCTATAGATCCCTTAAAGGGGCCCTGGGTATCTTACTAAATCAAGGGGTATTGGAGTCTCTTCAAAGGAACTCTTTTAGATCCCTTCAGGCCTCGACCCCAGAGACTCCAATATCCTTTAATTAAGGAATATGCCTTAAATCATATTAAGGATCCTGCTATAATTTAAGGAATACCCCTTAATTAAGGGATACACCTTAGATCATATTGGGGATCCTACTATAATATATGGAATACTCCTTAAATATCTTAAATTCAGGGATATTGGAGTCTCTGGGATTCTACTGTAATTTAAGGATCCTTTTATAGTTCAAGGAATATTCCTTAATTGGGAGTTTCTGGGACTCCTTCAACTTACTTTTGGTCAGTAGGGAATGGAGGAATGGGGTACAATTATAACTACTATTACTACCCCTGAAGCCCTAAACTCCGAACCCCCTAAACCCTAACCCTATAGACCCCCAGGCCCCTAAAAAGCCCTAAACCCCTAAACGCTGGAGTCTCTGGGGCTCCTTCGAAGGCGCCTTCTCAGCTGGCCAGCGCCTACAAGCTCGAGGCTTTGGTGGCCCGGGCCGAGGTCCCCGGTGAGGCTTACGGTTTAGGGTTTAGGGCTTAGGGCTTAGGGTTTAGGGTTTAGGGTTTAGGGCTTAGGGTTTAGGGTTTAGGGTTTAGGGTTTAGGGCTTAGGGTTTAGGGTTTAGGGTTTAGGGTTTAGGGCTTAGGGCTTAGGGTTTAGGGTTTAGGGTTTAGGGCTTAGGGCTTAGGGTTTAGGGTTTAGGGCTTAGGGTTTAGGGTTTAGGGTTTAGGGTTTAGGGTTGGCTCCAAGATCCCGTAATGAAGGAAGACCTGGACCCTTAGGAACCTACCTTTTTAGGGTTCCCTAATATGATTTCTTTATGTAAGTCCTTAAAAAGGTAGGTTATTTGGGGTTAAGGTACCTAGGTTTCCTTTAAGATACCTTTAGGGGATCTATGAGGGTTCCTTTAAGGGTTCCTATAAGGGAGCTCTTTAGGGTTTAGGGTTTAGGTGACTCCAAGATCCCGTAATTAAGGAATACCTAGGTTTCCTTTAAAGGGAGCTTATAAGGGTTCCTTTAGTAAATGGTTCCTATAAGGGATTTATAGGGTTTAGGATCTCACCTCCTTATTTTAGGGTCCTTAGAATAAGGATCCTACTTTTCAGGGTACCATATTAGGGTCCACTATTTTCGGAAACTCTAAATAGTAGGATCCTCATCAGAAAGAGCCCAAAAGAAGGTACCCCTCATTTTGGAAACTCTAAACCCTTATAGAGCCCGTTAAAGGAACCCTTAGAGTACCTGCAGGGTTTAGGGTTTAGGGTTTTAGGTTTTTAGGCTTTTGGAGCTTAGGGTTTTAGGGTTTAGGGCTTAGGGTTTTTGGGGTTTAAGTTTTAGGGTTTTAGGGTTTAGGGTTTCAGGGTTTAGGGTTTAGGGTTTGGGGCTCAAGGTTTGGGATGTAGGATTTTAGATTTAGGAGTGGGTTTAGGGCTCAGGGCATTAGAGTTTGGGACAGATATGCCAAAGTTTTGACCCAATGGGCAACAATTAGTGCCCTGTCAGAGTCCCTATATCACACAAGCAATGTACCCCGCAACTTTTCCCAACTAAGGCAACAGTATGATGACGAGATTTGACGCGACTCCGATATCAAACCTGACTGCCCTCACATGCACTGCAACCGTGAGTTTAACGTCTTCCCCGAACTCGCAAACATGATCCCAAACCTGCGGAAAATGATCACGGGCTTGGGGTGTAGGGTGTAGGGTTTAGGGTTCAGGGGCCTCAGACTGTTAGAGCCTTCAAGCCTTTTGAGTTAAGGCACATACCGGAAATTGTGAAGGTCGGTGGATCTGTAGCATATTTCAAGTTGTCTGCCGTCACATGAAGGATTAGGGAATACCTGGACCCCTAAGAAACCCACATCTTGAAGGGGTTCCTTATCTCATAGGGGACAAGGAGGGACCCTTAATAAGGACCCCTAGGTATATACCCTTAATATAGCTATTATATACCCATTACATAGCCCATTATAGGGTAGGGGTCCCCATTAAGGGTCCCTCCTTTTCCCCTTTGATTCAACTAAACCCTAAACCCTATAGATCCCTTTAAAGGGACCCGTATAGATCCCTTTAAAGGAACCCTAAGAGCCTAAGGGTCCCTCCTTCTTTATGCATGTCCGTCAAAAGCACATCATTTAGAAGCTGCCCCCACCCTGTAATAGTGGTATAATAGGAATATAATAGGGCCCTAATATAATCCTATATAATCCTTATGGTCACTTACAGGGTGGGGGCCCCTTCTAACACATCATGGATGTTCGCGGAGGAGCCCTTTGCCACCCTGTGCTTCCTAGGCGGACCAGGACCTGCTTTTTCTTACCCTACAAGGGGTTTAGGGTTTAGGATGGGTTTAGGGTTTAGGGTTTAGGGCTTTTAGGGTTGAGGGTTTAGGGCCTACAAGGGAACCCAGAGACTCCAATATCCTTTAACTAAGGAATATTCCTGCCACCTAAAGTAGAAGCCAGAAAGTTGGAATATCATTATCGTAACCCCTTTAAGTCCTTAACCCTTTGCGCCGAACCAGAACCACAGGGTTTAGATCAACAAGGCTTATATGAAAGGAACCCAAAATCTTATTTTTGTATGTGGTTGGCTTTATCTGTGTTTAAAAGTTTTTAAAAGTCGTTTAACGATTTTATTTGTATTTTAAAGTTTTTTTTCGTATTCAAAAGTTTTTAAAAGTATTTTAACGTTTTTATTTGTCTTTTAATGTCTTTATTTGGTTTTAAGGTTTATATTTTTGTGAATTATAAGTATTTGGTTGTGATTGAGTCAAGTGGCTTCCTGTTGTTCTACTTGGTTTCCTGCTGTTGTACGTCTACAAATTTGTTGTTTATTTGTTTTTGAAATTATTATTTCATCAATTTAAAATTTTTTGGTTGTGATTGCGTCAAATGATAAACGGCATCCTGCTGTTCAACCTGGCTTCCTGCTGTTCTACGTCTACAAATTTGTTTTGTTTGTTTTTAAAATTGTTTATCAATTTAAGTTGGGGGTTGTGATTGATTCTAAGGGTTTAAGGTGTCCTTTGAAATGCCTTCCCCACATGGATTCGAGCGGTGCAGTGGTGTGTCGTACAGTAGTAGTACAAGTAATAGCACAGTAGTAATGCAGTAGTACAATAGTAGTACCGTAATTAGTAGTGACGAAACGCAGATCCCCAAATCACGCAGATTTGTATTAAAAATAAGTTCCCAAATCATGAACCGCAAGGGCTCCCCCTACGGCTGTCTAAAAACTCGCAGCTCGCAAGGGGTGTCCGGTGCCTGTCCCCATAGCAAAATCATCAAATCGCAAGGCGTGTCCCTCGAAAGTAGGGGGTGGGTCGGGTGCGGGGGGGTGGGGTCGGCTGGGGGGCTGGGCTGGCTGGGGCCACGATTTGGCGTCTTGGAATTGGGCTGTGCTGGTGTTGGGGCTGGGGGGATGGCCAGTCCCCGGCTCAATCACCCCAGTGTGGATTGCTTTTCCTAAATCCGTGACCAGACTGAGCCAGGTTTTCTATATCTTGTTTTGCTTCCAAGCAGGAGGCGACGTTGTGATTCGTTTTGTGTAAAGAAGTTTTGGGCCAAGACACACAACAACAAACTTGCACAAAACAGTCACCAAGCAAACACAAACAAGTAGCATCATGCCAAGCGCATGCGAATACTTAAATTGACTAATAGCATCACCCCATTAATACAGGTTAATGTGAGGGTCCTTCTGACTAGTTGATGCGTGTTTCCTGTGCTTATTCGGGCCTGTATCAAAAAATGTGGCCTTAATGATTAGTGCGTTCTTTGTTGGGCCGACTGATTTTTTTGTACTTCTCTTCTACGACTGTCCTACTACTGTACTATTACAATACTAATGCACTGCTGTACAGGAGTGTAGGCCGGACGAAAAAAGTTTTCAACATGAAAGGCTTTTAGTGGTGCTATCTTGGAGTGATCGTGGTTTGGATTTTGGTCGTGCCCACACCCCGCTAAACAACTCCAGGTACTCCCACACCCTCGTAATGTACCCCTACTGTACTACCACTTTACTACTACCCTCTTACTACTGTACTTCTGTACTACTATTGCACTGCTACTGTAAAACCTAATGGGACACCCCTTGCGGGCCCCAGGCCCCAACCCCAGCCCACCACCGCATCTGTTAGCAAAATCTGGCGGAAGTGAGCCGCAACCGAGCGGAAAGCCTGTAAATACCGCGTTAAAACAACGGCCAGGGATCCCACACATCTGCGGGCAAAATCTGGCGGAACTGATCCGCCACCGAGCAAAAAGCCTGTAAATACCGCATTAAACAGAGGGCCAGGGATTTCACACATCTGTTGGCAAAATCTGGAGCCAGATTTTGCCAACAGATGTGTGAAATCCCTGGCCCTCTGTTTAATGCGGTATTTACAGGCTTTTTGCTCGGTGGCGGATCACTTCCGCCAGATTTTGCCCGCAGATGTGTGGGATCCCTGGCGGTTGTTTTAACGCGGTATTTACAGGCTTTCTGCTCGGTCGCGGCTCGCAGGGAAGGCTGGGCGTGCGGAAGCAGGCAGGCATGGGCTGGGGGACTGGCGGGTGGGGCGGGCCCTCTCTCCTTGACTACACCCTTTTCTCCCTTCACCCACCCCACCCAGCCTCTCTCCTTGACTACACCCTTTTCTCCCTTCACCCACCCCACCCAACCGCCCCAGCCCCAACAGCCCCAGCCCCAGCAGCCCCCGCAGCCCCAGCCCCAGCAGCCCCCGCAGCCCCAGCCCCAGCAGCCCCAGCCGAGCAGCCCCAGCCCCAGCCCCAGCAGCATTTTATCATGAAGCCTTTTCTGGAAGATCGGCCCGGCAAAATCTTAGAAGACATTTGTGGCACTTGTGGCACGCCCCGGAAAAATCTTATTAAATCTTATTGAATCTTATTAAATCTTATTGAATCTTATTGAATCTTATTAAATCTTATTGAATCTTATTGAATCTTATTGGTCCATCATGTTTAAAAGGGACACCGACTCCAGACCGCCCCAAAAAATCTTATTGAATCTTATTGAATCTTAGAAGACATTTGTACAATTGTGGCACGCCCCGGAAAAATCTTATTGAATCTTATTAAATCTTATTGAATCTTATTAAATCTTATTGAATCTTATTGAATCTTATTAAATCTTATTGAATCTTATTGGTCATCATGTTTAAAAGGGACACCGACTCCAGACCGCCCCAAAAAATCTTATTGAATCTTATTGAATCTTAGAAGACATTTGTACAATTGTGGCACGCCCCGGAAAAATCTTATTGAATCTTATTGCTAAGCCCTGTTGATCCAAACTTTGTAGTTTTGGCCCCCAGGGGGGGCGGGGGGGAGACCCCCCCGAGTGACCCCCCCCGTGGAAGCGTCTTTTCTTGGATAGATAGATAGAGAGTCTCTTTGCAGGGAGATTATATTAAATCTAATCAGTGTTAGAAAGGAACACAAAACAAATAAAATCTTACTACATCTAGCTAAATCTCATTAAATATTAATTAGTCTTTTGAAAAATTATGAAGTCCCGAGCCCGGTCCCCAGCCCTCGCCCTTGCGCCTTATCAGCCCACCTCCCAGGCCAGCCTCGCCCCCGCGCCAAACTCAAAGCCATGACCCTATAAGCACATATAGATACCAGATACGACAGCAAACAGCAAAACATATAAAGAGCAAAGACAAAGCACCCACACAAAGCAAAGTTTACAGCGGCGCTCCCTGCTTGAGTCGATGAACACACTACTGTGCTTGTACTGTGCTACTACTGTACTACTATTGCACCAATGTACTACTGTGCTACTGTACTACTGTACTTTGTACTACACGCCACTGTACCGTACCAGGCCTCAAACTTGGTCGATCGTGGGGGTGTTTAGGTTGGAGGCAAAAGTCTTTAACATGAAAGGTTTTTAGTGTTGGTAGTTATCTTGGAGTGATCGCGGCTTGGTTTCAAGTTTTTGGTGATCCCCAAACCCCCCGACCGCGGCGTTCGCGCAGGTTTCAAACCGACCCTGCGACCCCCCATTTCCCTTCTAACTTAACCAAAGCCATTCAGACCCTCAGCCAGCCGAACCCCGGTCCAGGGGGTCACGGACACCAGACTATTCAAGCCAAAAACCTTTGGTCGAGGGGGGGTGGCTATTACACGGCCGCCACATTACAGGTAGCAGAGATACAAGAAGAAGCTCGATGATGCGCAGGTGAATAAACGTAATAGTCCAGTAGTAATGCATGTAATAGTACAGTAGTAATGCAGTAGTAGTACAGTAGTAGTACGGTACGAGGTTTTTAAGTGTACTTGGAGCTGTTTAACGGTTTTGGGGGATCACCAAAGGCCGGAAACCAAAAGCCCCGATCACTCCAAGATACTACCAACACTAAAAACCTTTCATTTTGTAGACTTTTGCCTCCAACCTACACTCCCCTCCACAATCGACCACGTCTGAGGCCCGGTACGGTACAGTAGTAGTACAGTAGTAGTACAAAAGGGTAGAGTAGTACAATAGTAGTACTGTAGTACGACAGTCGTACAGTAGTAGTTACAGTGCAGTACGAGGGTTTAGGGGTACTTGGATCTGTCTAGAGAGGTTTGGGGACGACCAACAGTCGAAGCCAACCCACGGTCACTCCACGAGAACTACCAAAACTGCAAACCTTTCACTCTGAAGACTTTTGCCTCCAACCTACACTCCCCTCCACTCGACCACGTCTGAGGCCTGGTGCGGTGCAGTGGTGTGTCGTGCAGTAGTAGTACAAGTACTAGCACGGTAGTAATGCAGTAGTAGTACAGTAGTACAATAGTAGTACCGTCGTAGTACTGTAGCGGTGCCATAGTAGTACAGAAGTATACTTGTAAGAGGGTAGTAGTAAAGTGGTAGTACACTAGTATTAAAGTAGTTGTACAGTAGTAGTACAGTAGTGGTACAGTAGGAGGGTGTGGGAGTACCTGGAGCTGTTTAGCGGGGTGGGCACGACCAAAAGCCCGAAGCCAAGCCACGATCATTCCAAGATAACTACCAAAACTGAATCCCATTCATATTGAAGACCTTAGCACTTTGCCTTTCAGCCATTACCCTTAAACCCTATACCATGGCACTCTGCCTTGTAACCCTAAACCCTAAAACCCTGAAACTCTAACCCTAACCCTCTCATTACCCTCAAACCCCTAATACTATGGCACTCTGCCTTCTAACCCCAAACCCTAAAGACCCTGAAACTGTAAACCCTGTGCCAGGTCTTCTTCATCCTCGTCTTCTCGGAAAAAACCTTAAAAATGTAGAAAAGATACTTTTTTTTGTGTTTTAAAGTTTTTAAACACTTTTAAAAGTTGTTTAAAGTCTTTAAAAGTCTTTCAAAGTCTTTTAAAGTTTGTAAAAGCTTTTAAAAGCTTTTAAAAGTCTTTTAAAAGTCTTTTAAAGTCTTTTAAAGTCTTTTAAATGTCTTTTAAAGTTTTTAAAAGTCTTTTACATATTTTAAAAGCCTTTTAAAGTTTTGAAAAGTCTTTTAAAGTTTGCAAAAGTCTTCTAAAGTTTCTAAAAGTCTTTTAAAGTTTTGAAAAGTTTTTAGAAGGTTTTTTCTTGCATTTTAAAGTTTTTAAAAGTCTGTAAAAGTTTTTAAAAGCCAACTCTGTCGAACAAGCCCTGTGGATCTAAACCCTGTGGTTCTGGTTCGGTGCAAAGGGTCAATGATTAAGGTAAATCATAGGGGATCCTATTATATGACCTTCATGTTGGACATGTACGGGTACAGGGAACTCCAGAAAGTTGGAATATGGTTTCAGGGTAGGATACCTTATAATTTACCAGAAAGGGGTTAGGATAATCATATTCCAACTTTCTGGCTTTTACTTTAAGGGGAATAGGGTTTAGGGTTGTTGGGGGACCTTATTCCGGAACCATTGTAGTGCAATCGGAGGGAACCCTATAAGACGATCATCCTACCCATAGGCTGAACGCGGCCAACAATTCTAAAGGTACCATTTGCTTTTTGTGGTTAGGGCCCGTGGGTTTATGATTAAAGCTTTGGGGTCATTTTGGTTTACGTTTTGGGGTTTAGGCTTTAGGGCCAGGGGATGGGGTTATTGTAGGGCCAACCACCCAGAGAATCCAATATCCCTTAATTAAGGAATATTCCTTAAATTATAGGAGGATCCTTCACATGATTTAAGGCATATTCCCTAATTCAGGGATATTGGAGTCTCTGGGCATAAAGACCTGACTGGTGGTTACATGAGCAATGCCTAAACGAGCACCCAGCAGTTTATAGAGCTTTCTAAACTCCAAGGGTAACAGGAGGGACCCTTAATAAGGACCCTAGGTATATACCCTTAGTATAGCTATTATATACCCATTACAAGGCCCATTATAGGGTAGGGGTCCCCATTAAGGGTCCGTCCTTGTCCCCTTTGATAAACAAAACAGGTTTTGCTGATCAGTAGAAGTGTGTTTTACAATCTTTAACTAGGTGTTTTCTAGAAAAACCTAGTAGAAAAACCTGGTTTAGGGTTTAGGGTTTAGGGAACTAGGTTTTTCTAGAAAAGCCTAGTAGAAAAACTTGGTCTTTCCAGAAAAAAAAGCCTTGTAGGAGTTCTAGTAGGTCCTGCGGTTCTTCGTGGTTGGAGGTTTAGGGATCGTGGAGATGAGGGTCAGAGGTGCAGAGGTTTAGGGTTTAGGGTTTAGGGTTCAGGGTTTAGGGTTTAGGGTTTAGGGGTTTAGGGGTTTAGGGTTTAGGGCAATCCCAGCAAGACCCTGCCGTGTTGGGCTCTTTGGCTTCTTAGGGTTCGCTGCAGGAGGCATGTGCTCCAAGAGTGTTTTGAAATGGTTCTTTGGCCTAAACTTTTGGATTCGGGGAGAGGGTTAAGCATTTCGTGGTTTCGGGAGATATCTGTGCTCTCGAATTACCTGTTACTTTAAGCGTTGTACCCCAAACAGGGTTCATAACTCACTATTCTGCAGGGGGTACTTGCAGGGGCAGGGGACTTAGTAATTAGGTTACAAGTAGAGTTATAAGTACCCTAAATGGAGTAACCCCAATTATAACCCTACCTATAAACGACTTACTAAATCCACTGCTCCTCCAAGTATCTTCAAACCCCAAAGCCAACAGCACCTCAACAGCACCCAGAAACTGTCGACCAACACCGAAGCTCGCTTTCCCGACAGTTCAGACTTCGGGTAAAACTCGGGGAAATGTCCGGCATTGAAGCAATGGAGATCAAGCTAGTTGCAGCAGTGGCAATGCCAAGCCGGTGAAACTGAAGCACATCTAGTGTACGTAACAACCATTCACAGAAAGCGTTGCGGTGGTTGTCCGGCCTCGCACCAGCAGCAGCAACGGTAACAGTGCAGGGCGACTCGGCATTTTTGAAGTGTTGCAACATCTGTGTCCGCACGCAGCCACGACGTGCAATGAATCAACAGGATAGTGGTGGGCACGAATTATTTTTTCGCGCAGCGACACATCAAGCCCCTTAAGCCCTAAACTGCAAACCCCAAACCTACACCCAACCCTAAAGCCTACAGCCTTAACCCGAAACCAGCGTGCGCTTCACCAGAGGACCGGTCTCCAGCCTAGACAGCGAGCAGCTCTTTGATGGTGTGGTTGCTGGCAAGGCAATACGGAGAGCAACAGTACCTGCCTTTGTCATAGTTGGGTAACATTTTAGAGTTTTATGGGTACTTAAACTCAATCAGAAATGAAAATGTACATTTTTAATCCTATCCCAACCATGAACTAGCTACTCGTTGTACGTTATGAAGGTGTATTTCGCATTAGAGTCTACAATAGGTTTCGCATGAGGTTCGGGGCTTGCTGGTGTGCAGTCCGTGCACAAGCCTTCAAATCCGAAACCACTCAATACCGTGTGCTTGCGGTGTCGCTGAGGCTGCCCTCTCAGGAGGTAGACAACTGTAGACATCATTCGGGGTTTTGGGTTCAGTGTATCGCACAGGCAAGGAGACTCCTCACGGTGTTGAAGAGATTACAATAGAGAACAGAATGTCTTCGTAAACTCATGTAAGTCTTGCGTGCTAGCTCCCGAGATTCTCAGTAGACACATGTCGGGCCTTGTTGTGGTCTGCAAGCCAGAACCACGAAGACATCAAAAGCAATGAAGCCCCGTGCAATCCCGATTTAAAGCCCTGTTCAATGACAAAGCCCTTTAAGCACCCCCGTAACGTGAACAAAACATAGTCTCCGATTTCCTGAAGATTTAGTGGAGTCTCAACATTTGGAGTCCTGTTATAACGGTCCATACATCAGGCATCCTACTATCCGGGGTTTCTGCGGGGTACCAATTTTCTGTATTTCCGATCTATACTCCAAAACCCACTGCAAAGTCCTACACACGAAAGCCTCTGTACCGCTACATCATCCGAAACTGTGCTCACTATGCCATAAGCCCAAACCTTAAATCCAAACCCAAAAAGCCTAAACTCTAAAGGCCAAGTCCAGTTCCCTAGAATCCCGTTCCTGAAGCTCTTAATGGGTTCTGGAAAGTCACACCGCACCCCCTAAGAATGCCTACAAGCCTGCCCAATTGATGCGAGCGGCGAGAACACGCATGTGGAAGCACCAGCCGATACCTCCCACGGAGTGGTACATCGCAGCATATAGTACTGTATGATATTATATGTTATATCGGACTATAAGGTAGTATGTTTTCTTATATAACAGCATCTTATGAATCTTATGTTATACTATAGCATATTATAGTCTATTGCAGTATACTCCAGTATATGATAACACAGCACCTGCCATAAGCCGTTAGGGACAAGCCCATTGCAAAGCAAGCAGTATTCCCTTTTGCACAGAAAGTCCACATAGATCACTCCTGCTGATGGACAAAATCCTGCATGGCCCTAAGGACTCTAAACTATGGGAACGATGGTATATTCCTTATGACGAGTAATGGAGGATTTTGCCCATCAGCAGTCCCGAAGGCCTGCCCGCACGGCTTCCGACAAGCGCCAGGACAGACTCACAGAAAGCCCACATGCACTGCTGCCAGTGATTTTCACAACGCCGCTACGACAGCTTTACACGAAGACCACTACCTGCCACCAGAAAAGCTTTTCAGAAACAGGACAGGTTCTCGGACAGCCCACACCATATGAGCGCTTCCGAAAATAAAATAGGGGAACCATATTTTGGTGCCCTTATAATAAGGAGCCTACTATTTAGGGTGCTATATTAGGGTCCCCTCTTTTCGGAAACTCCCATATCAAAGGATGCTTCACGAATCGCTCCGTGCCTCCTTTCGATTCTCGGTCGATCCAAGCCTTGCAGAGATCTCATTATCTAGGATGCCCAGTAGTACCCTTATTCCCTTTTTGTAGTCCTAGGTTCCTTATAAAGTTACCCAATACCAAAAAGAGAGGCCTTTTTATTCTCAGGTTACTGGGTATCCTAGTTATCCATACATGTCCAACATGAAGGTCGCTGATCGCTGGGTGTTTCACACAAGTGAGCACGCTGACTTGGCCAAACCCTGCGTTCATAAATCCCAAGCTCTAAACCCTAAATCCTCAACCATAAACCCAAGCCCCAAACACTACGCATTAAACCCCAAACCCTCAGCCCCGAAACCCTGAACTCCAAACCCTAAACCAAAGCACCTCAAAAACACCAACGGTGGAAGGCCGTTCTGGGCGCTCCGGGCACGTCCACGCCGCTGCGGACCGAAGGGCGGACGACGACGGCCGTCCACCGGCAACTTAGTAGCTGAATGAACACACTTTGCAGTTTTTTGAATAATAGTTGTGCACTTTGCAGTTTTTGTGAATAATACTACTAGTGATAATCAGAACAATACTAATAGTTTTGCTGAATACAGAATCATGATGGCAATTAATTTCCAACGCCTTAAACCCGAACCCCTGAAGCCCTAAACCGTATAAGCTGTAGAACTCAACTCAAAGTTTACACTCTCTGCGGGGCTTTTGAACTCAGCAACTAAGGCAAGCCGTTGCTCTAGCCACGCGGCTTAGTTCACAGGAGCATTTTTCTGCTTTTCTCTTATCGGTTTTAAAAACGTTTCATGGGACATGCACCCTAAGTGCAATCAATCCGTAAGGTGATGCTGTATAGCTCCTCCCACATGGGGCAGAAGGCCGTGGGTGCCTTGGACACTGGAGCTGATTAACGACATTTGGCCTGTCCTGGAAGCAACGGGTAACGGCGTAACGGCCCGTGCTTGGTGGTCCTCGTCGTCGGCGTGCAAGGGCATCCGCCGTGGCTGGTCGAGATGAAATGCATGTCTCGATTGGCCGATGAAATGCATGTCTCGATTGGTCCAGGGGCCAGATGCAGTCATCGTGACGAGGGCGACGGGGATACTCCAATCAACACGCTCCGGGGAAGAGATCATTTTCAAGAGAATATGCATTCAGGCTGCTGAACGTCCAGGATTTGATGCTCCTGCTCGACACCGTTGCTGCCGGTTCAGGCAGCGCAGACCGGCTCAATCGCCAATGTTTTTCTGTCGAGCGTAACGCACAAAACCTTTGGCCAGGATCATCGTGGATTTCCAGCTTCAGGTGGGCTTGGTTTGATCTTCAATACTAGACCTGCTGATCACCACGTGCAGGTGCGTACACAGAAACGATAATTATGGTTGCTTGCATGAAAAAGAAGCTGGCCCTCATCCTAACCCCCCAGAAGCCTCGTGCTGCTTGACGCGTTCAGGGTGCTAGGCTGTAGGGCAATTTATACATACGTTGAGGTTCCAGGTTTTCCAGTTCGCGTTTTTGAAGGGTCCGACTCGGGTGTCTTGGGAGTCAACGGGAATGCATACGACGTGCTTGGCAGCTTATAGCTAGCGTTGCAACGCAGAGCCCTACAACTTCTAATTGAAATGCGATGCCCCAAGTCGTCGACACAGCAGTGTTTCAGTCTCGGGCCATCAGCCCACATAATCTCGCACTTCATCCGGTTCGGGTTTTAGGTTTTTGTTGGGGAGTCAGAGGTTTTCGCGTCTTCATGGTAGAGAGCGCCCCGCAAGATTCGCGCTTGAGAGCATCAGGTAGCCCTTCACATACCCAGAGACTCCAAAATCCCTGAATTATAAGGAACACACATATATATATATATATATGTACACACACACACACCCTAAATCATAGTAGGCTGCTTAGTATGATTCAAGGTATATTTCTTATTTAAGGGATATTGTAGTCTCTGGGTCGTAATGCAGAAGTCCATGCAGGTTTTGGGGGTTTCGGCGGGGGTTCGGATTAAGGCTCCAGCCGTGGGGGTATCTTAAAGGGCTCCTTCGAGGGATCTATAGGGTTCCTTAAAGGGATCTATGGGGTTTAGGGTTTAGGGTCTAGTTGGAGGGTCGGGGGACTTAGTAAGTAGGTAATAAGTAGCCCTACCTGTGGATCCAAAAACCTACCGTTTCCAGGGTCAGACCCTCTAATTAAGGGGCCATAACCTACTGCTTTGTAGGGTTTGGTGGTACAGGTACACCCTGAATACTTCGGGTTTGTGACAGGGTTTTGGGGTTTAGGGTTTGTAGGGTTTAGGGTTTGGGGTATGGTAGGGTCTGGGATTCTTTCAGGCTAAGAGCTTCGGGGTCACATATATATATATATATATATATATATATATATATATATATATATAATAGGGTTTAGGGTTATATGTATATATATATATATATATATATATATCACGAGTCGTACGGGTTGTTTCTCGTCCTCGTTTTATGGTTGAGGGACCCGGAACCCTGACCCAAAGAATCCGAAGCAATGTTCAAGAGCGAGTTTAATTAATTAATGATCGAAAGATTAGTACTAAACTCGAAACCCTGAACTCTAAACCCTAAACCCTAAACTCGAAACCCTAAGCTCCAAACCCTCAGCCCTAAACTCGAAACACTAAACCCCAGCCCTAAACTCGAAACCCTAAACTCTAAACCCTGAACTCGAAACCCTAAATCCTCGGAGGTGAAGGCTTAGGATCTCGATGCTATGCCTTTCTAGCGATTGCCATGTCGTTTACGGTTGAAGTGAGACTTCTCAGTGGCAAGACAGCTATTGTGAGCACAAGCTTGGATGAAGATGTGGCAGCGTTGCAACGTCGGGCACAGACCGCACTTGGAGTGAGAAGAGGGCGACTGCTGGACTCGTGTGGATGCGTCCTGGAAGCATGTGCATTGATCAAGCATTCCTCGGTGCGTGATGGTGACTCGCTGACCTTGCTCAGTAATCAAGCTCTAGCCCTTGGAACTTGGAACGCATTCGCTGCGCTTCTTGGTGATGGATCCATCGTGACGTGGGGAAACACTGATTGTGGCGGCGACAGTTCTGCTTTGCAAGTTAAGCTTAATCATGTGCAGCGGGTTCAAGCCACTCGTTTTGCTTTTGCTGCCATTCTTGGTGATGGATCCGTCGCGACGTGGGGTGATGCTCACCATGGTGGTGACAGCGGCGCTGTGCAGGGTCAGCTGAGGAATGTGCAGCAGATCCAAGCCACTCGCTTTGCTTTTGCTGCCATTCTTGGGGATGGATCCGTCGTGGCTTGGGGTCTTTCTGACCGCGGTGGTGACAGCAGTGCTGTTCAGGAGCAGCTGAAGAATGTGCAGCACATCCAAGCCGCCGAGAGTGCTTTTGCTGCTATTCTTGGTGATGGATCTGTCGTGACGTGGGGCAGCACTTGCAATGTTGGTGACAGTAGTGCTGTGCAGGAGCGGCTGAGCAATGTGCAGAGGATACAAGCATGCACTGGTGCTTTTGCTGCCATTCTTGGTGACGGATCCGTCGTGACCTGGGGTAGTGCTGAGCATGGCGGTGACAGTAGCGCTGTGCAGGCTCAGCTGAAGGATGTGCAGCAGATCCAAAGCACCAGAAGCAGCTTTGGCGCAGCTTTTGCTGCGATTCTTGCCGATGGATCCGTCGTGACCTGGGGTGATGCTCACCGTGGTGGCGACAGTGCTGCTGTGCAGAGTCAGCTGAAGAATGTGCAGCAGATCCAAGCCGCTGGCTGCGCTTTTGCTGCCATTCTTGTCGATGGATCCGTCGTTACCTGGGGTGATGCTGCTGGCGGTGGAAACAGCATTGACGTGCAGGATCAGTTGAAGAACGTGCAGCAGATCCAAGCCACCAGAAGCTTTCTTGATTCGGGAGCCTTTGCTGCAATTCGTAGCAATGGATCGGTCGTCACCTGGGGTGATGCTGAGCATGGTGATGACTGCAGTGCTGTGCAGGATCAGTTGAAGAATGTCCAGCAGATCCAGGCGACTCGGTCTGCTTTTGCAGCCGTTCGTGGTGATGGCTCCGTCCTGACCTGGGGTGATGTTCGACATGGTGGTAACAGTAGTGCGGTGCAGGATCAGCTGTGGAATGTGCACAGGTAGAGAGAGAGCCGTTCTCGTGGAAGTTGGAGCGTGGCAGGGATCGTCCTGGCGTAGGTGGCGACAGTCGGTGTACGGAACCAAATTAAAGTTGTGCAACAAGCGGTGGTTTGAGCTGTTTGCGCCAGCTTCAGCAGCGGGACATTGGCTTAGACAAGCCCTAAACCCTGGACCCCAAACCCCATAAACCCCTAAACCCTAAACCGACTGAACCCTAAACCCCATACACCCTGAAACCCAAACCCTGACCCTCTTTGCTCGTATAGCGGTGCGCTGAACACCAGAAAGTGAGCAGGGCTTGGCGTTCGGCGTGCCTTCGGTGCCCAGCTACCACATGGCCTGGACCTCGGGCTTCAAGGTGGGTTTAGGGATTTTGGGGTGTTGGGGTTTAGGGTTTAGGCTGTAGGCTGTCTAGGGTTTAGGCTGCTGAAGGTTTAGGGCTCGCGGTTGAGGATTCTGCTGTGTTGGTTGTTGGTTCTGTAGGGTTTCATGGGTCTTCAGAGCATGTTGTATGGGTTCCGAAAGCGCATGCAGTACTTAGATCCCCAATACCCAACCTTGAAACTTTTTGGGTTCCTACAGTTTAGTAGGAATCGGAAAGTTTAACCTTTGATTTCTGTGACTATTTGGGGGAGTAAGCATAAGGGTTTGTTGAACTTGTCTTCAAACTTTAGGGCCTCAAAGGCTAAGGGTTCACGGTTGGTTTAGGGTTTACGGTTTGACATGAGAGCCGCGTAATCTGAAGCTGATCACTGTGTCAAATTTAGGACTTTGCGTGAATGGCATTCCTCGACTGATGCCACTTGTAGACTACAAGAGAGTAATTTAAGTCGCATGCTTAAGGGAGAAGTCGTATCACCCCAGCGTTTACATGGGGGATAGCATATCCGACATATCCTAACTGTATGGAGCTCATGAGGCGATAGTCGCGAGTCGGACTCAAAATCCATATTCGGCAGCTTTGTTCCGAATAGGACTGGTCGTGGCGTTTAGATGGGGTTTGACATGGTTTGTAGGAGCGTTGAAGTGACTTCTCACATTGCGAAGTGACTTCGCCCCGCCCCAGCATTTACATTGTGATGTGACTTCATGCGGACTGTTCTGACTTAAGTGTCCCCCTTGTAGCAGATCGTTAGACAAGATCGTCGCCAACTCCGTTCTTTCCCGCTCACTTTTGTCACCCATGGCTCAAAGTCCGACTCACTGGTAATAAACATCCTGCGTCAGATAGGCCATACAAAGTTTAAAAGCGTTCTGCAAGGGTTTGGCAAGGCTTTTTCGGGGTTTTGTGGTGTGCGCCTGCCCGCGAGAATTAGAGTTTAAGGCTTGAGAGTCTTAGGGTTTCGGGCTCTACGGCTGTTTGAGTGGATTCTCAGCTTTTAGGGCATGTGGTTCATGATTTCTAGGAGGATGTCCTCAGGGTCTGTATTGAGCTCATACGGGGTGCAACATTTGCGGTTTAGGAATCTGGGGCTTCGGGCTTAGGGTTTGCAAGCGTCAGGCTTTGGAGGTTTGGGGTTTGGAGTTCAGGATTAAGGGTTTAGGATTTAGGGTTTAGGGTTTAGTGTTTGTTGAGATAAGTGGGAGTTTGGGAGTGCAAGTGTACGCTTTCGTAGGGCTCTACCCATTTTAACTGGGTTTTTGGACTGCTTTACCAGAGACTCCAATATCCCTTAATTAAGGAATATTCCATAAATTATAGAGGGATCCCTTATATGATTTAAGGAATATTCCTTAATTAAGGGATATTGGAGTCTCTGGGCTTCGGGCAGAGGCTTCGCCGGCCAGAA